GTTTTAAGTTCAAATGCTTTCAAATTTGATACAACACATAAAAAGGAAGTCGGCATGAATATTATAAGTCATTATTTAACACGCGACACGGTGCTTAAGACTTCGACGTGGCGTTATATATTATATTAAAGTACCTCTGTCGTTCCTTTACAACACAAATAGATCACAAGTAAATCACAAGTCATCCCGCCGATGAAATTAAATCTGGTAATGTTAAACATAATGACAAATCACTACACACAAATTCAATGTTATACATCTTGTATTTCTGGAGACACGGTGCTTAAGACTTCGACGTGGCGTTATATATTATATTAAAGTACCTCTGTCGTTCCTTTACAACACAAATAGATCACAAGTAAATCACAAGTCATCCCGCCGATGAAATTAAATCTGGTAATGTTAAACATAATGACAAATCACTACACACAAATTCAATGTTATACATCTTGTATTTCTGGAGTTGTTGCCCCCAAACGAGTTTTGTGGTGGATAAGGCCAAAAAAAGTCTCCGGTTTCTGGTATGGAGCTTGCCCAAAAAGTGGTGCGGAGACGCGGCTTTTAAAATCTATACAAAGTCGACTGTGAGAGATCTGATTTTGCGTTTTACGTGCAAAATTGGGTGACCATTCTTTCTGGTAGAAACCGGAAGTGCCTTATCATTGAAATTTGTAAAAGATGTGAACTTGCTTTGACCGTTGTGCGTTCAACTGAAAATGTCAAGTCGCCTGTTGGGTCACGTGACGTCATAATGTCATCATGATGTAGTAGCCTATCCCGTCGAGTACGACGATGTAGCTCGGTGTCTAGCTGCAATCAGCAATCAGCAGATCGCCAACGAGTGCGGTCCTGCACCACGGTCTGCCAGGAGCTAACTGGAATTTGGAAAGCCCGTAGATCACGCTTTAGGACATCCTTGTAACGGAGTTTTGGACGACCACGGGGGCGAGGAGCATGAGCCAGCTCCCCGAAGAAGATGTCCTTCGGCAGTCGACCGTCCTCCTGTCTACAGACTTGACCAGACCAACGAAGGTAGCGAGCTAAGAGCAATGTGAGCATGTCGTTGACTCCTGTGAGCTCAAGAATGGCAGGGTTTGAGACTCGGTCTTGCCAGGAGATTCCAAGAATTGAACGCAGGCAGCGGAAATGGAAGGCATTCAGTCGACGTTCCTGGCGGCGGTAGGTCGCCATGACTCACTGCAGTAAAGTAGCACAATCAGCACACAGGACACGTAGATGCGAATCTTCAGCTTGATGGAGAGAGCCCAGTTGTCTCAAACGCGAAAACGAAGTCGGCCAAAGGTGGTTGCAGCCCTCCTATTCGGGAGTCAAGTTCGGCATCCAAGAAGTTGCTGCTGGTAACTGTGGAACCCAGATACTGAAATTGTTGACAACGCTCAGATGTGTGCCATTGACGGTGATGGGGGGGGGGGGGGGGGGGGGAACCTGGGCCGTTTGATAACACCACTGTCTTGCCAAGGCTGATGTTCATGCCAAACTCCGAGCAAACACTAGCAAATGAGTTGCAGAGATCTTGAAGTTCATCTTCGGAGTGGGCAACAATGGCAGCATCATCAGCGTACAGGAGCTCCCGGATGAGAACATGCCGAATCTTCGTCCTGGCAAGGAGACGAGACAGGTCGAAGAAATTCCCAGAGCTGTGAGTGCAAAGCAAGATACCAGATGGTTCGGGAAATGCACGGTATAGCAGAGCTGAGAAAAAGATCCAAAACAGGGTAGGGGCAAGTACAAACTCCTGCTTGACGCCCCGAGGGACTTCAAATTTAGCAGATCTAGAGCCGTTGAACTGGACTGTGGCGTGCATGTCGCCATGAAAACACATCACATCTGGGCAGCCCAAGCGCCCAAAGATGGAAAACAGGCCTGAACTACTCACGTTATCAAACGCCTTAGTCAAGTCGATGAAGGCCATGTACAGAGGTCGCTGCTGTTCAACACACTTCTCCTGAAATTGTCTCAAGGAAAACACCATGTCAACAGTGGAGCGGGATAGGAGAAAACCACACTAGCTTTCGGGATGGATCCTGTTGGCAATGACCTGTAGCCGAGGTAACAGCACTCGGGCAAAGACCTTCCAAGCTAAACACAGTAGTGAGATGCCCCTAAGGCTTTGATCTGGGAAAAATATTTATAGGGGAGTATTATTTGTAGACGTAATACACTTGTCACATCATATTTCTTTTCTCTAAAGCGCAGAATTAAACTAAAAATTATTTTCACTGCAAAATTTTAATCCCGTTAATTTGCCAGGCTTTATTAAGGTTTTTTGAGTAAACCTTCATTTTTGGACAATTTATATCTTATTTACAAGTTATGCCAATGACCTAAATTCATTACAAAAGGAACACACGAATCTCAGATTTCGGATATTTTCCCATATATTTAAAATTGGACTCTGGCCTATTGACTTAGACACCTGAAATTTAAATTTAAATGGATTTCTTTGTGTATATCATTTTCCGCTCTTTATTCAAGTAGACCTGTTTACACAAAGATTTTCCATGAAACAAATGGCTTTGGGGGCACAAGGTGATTTATTTTAATCAATAAATATTTCGGGAAGCAAAAAATCTCAAATTTCTTGATTTTTTTTCAAGAAAATATCGTAAAGCATTATCCGGCAGTGTAAATTACCATATATTTTAATAATTGGTGGACATTGAAAGGTCGTCTGCTGCGATCAGTCGTGTCTCGCGAAGTCTCATACGTGATGTTAACGGATTTTCTGACGAGTAACGGGCGCAAAAGAAAACATGACGCTCTCCATACGGCTGTTTACGTATAATGGCACTTACATGTAGTAGGGAAAAAGGGAATAAAAACACTTTTCCACTCCTTTGATGAAATTAGATTTTTAGTATGTTAAAAAGTGATTTTTCTTAGCGTGATAGTATTAAAATAAATTCTATTGCAATTTGTTCTGGGTCAGGCCCTGTTTTGTTCTAAATTGACCGGACTATGAGGTAAGGCAGATATTGCAGAAGTACCTACTTCAGCATCGCTGTTGTACAGTGAGCTATGGTGCTCTACCCACCGGTCAAGCTGTGCTGTTTGGTCTGTGAGGATGGCACCAGTGGACGACAGCAGAGGAGCAGATTTCTTTGGGGTCTGCATATATAAAATGCACTTTGTTCGTAGCCGTCACTTCTGAGAAGTCTTCTTGCTGCACGTGCTGCCATTCCCAACAACCGTCGCCGAGCACTTCGTTTCTCCGCAGCTTTGCATGTCACGTGACATTACATTAAAGGGATATTTTCTGAGTCCTATATTTAATGAACTACTGGTTGTAACTTGATATGTACCTATACCATGATCTGTTTTATATGAAAATGTAAGTGACGTCATCATAATGTCTTCACATGGCATGTGACATCACATTAAAGGGGCATTTTTCTACAGCCTATATCTAATGAACTATGGGTTCGATTTGGTTGTAACATGACTCACTAAAAGTGCATTTTCTTAAATGTCCATAATGTACAGTAATATAGGTCCGATTTGGTTGGAACTTGATATGGATCTATTCCTTAATATACGTTCTGCGTCTGTTCAAACACTTTAGGACAAAGAACAACACTTTAATTAAATGAAATCCTATCCATACCAGACTATGCCCATAGGTGACTCAAAAGTTTTGGATAGTGATGGGAATTCACCTGTATTAATTTAAAAAAAAAGGTTATGAAGAATACGTAAAGTGCTATAACTTGGACAATCCTCCAAAAAACATGCCCGCCTTAACAGAACTCAAACTAAATGATGAACCACTCCAAGAATACCACTCTCTCAAAATACTGGGCCTAATTATCCAGTCAGATCTTTAATGGAATGAATGGGTGACAGACATTACTTCAACAGCTAGCCGGCGAATGTACATGCTCCGACTTCTAAAACATTTTGCATTGCCTTCGAAGGACCTGCTCACCATCTACATGGGGTACATCAGACCAATACTGGAATACCGGTCCCGGTATGGTCGCCTGGACTCACCCAGCAACATGGTAAAACCCTTGAACAAATCCAGAAAAGAGCTTGCAGAGTCATCCTTGGTTCCAAGTTCAAGGGATATGAACAATCATTAACAGATCTCAGTCTCTGCACTCTTGCTAAGAGAGTGAGTTTAGTAACTAGCTACCTGAGCACAAATACAAATCACATAATTACCAATCGCGAAACAGTTGCCACCTCTCTATCCGTAACTGCAGAACAAATCGGTACAAAAACAGCTCTGTACCCTACCTTGTTAGGCTATGGAACTCCAAAAAACAAGTAAAAGATTTGTTAGGTGCCTCATAATTAATCCTTTTTTTATTGACATTCATACCTAATGTTCTGCATGACTTTTAATCTTTTTTAATCCTGGGAATTCTTGTTACCCCTCTTCGCTCACCCTCTCCTTCCTTAACTTCCCACATAGCGTTTTTTTGTCCTATTGTCAGTTTCATGTCTTAAGACAGTAATGTATCCCTTAGACTTTTTTGTTTGTGTAATTCCATTGTTTAAGCCTAGAAACATCTTATCCAGAAACTTTTTATCATTCTTACTTGATTTAATTGAATTTCATGACTATATTTAAACATGTATATTAAAGCATTGTTCTTGAAATGATTTAATTCTATGTTTGTTCGTATTCCTTTTCTTACCCTTCCCCTTTCACCCTCTCCCTTCCCAGTTGACATTTCACATACCCTCTTCGTTTCATGTTTTTATACGATTTTTATCTGCTGCTCTTTTGAAGCAAAGTTTTCGTTATTAAAGTGTTTGTTAATACATTGTGAATGTTTTTATACAATTAATTAACTTACTTAATTTTTATAATTTTAAAATAGTAAGCTTTGCATCATCGAATGTTTCGATAATCTGTCCTATGTAAATGATTTTTATTTCATGTGACCTATTTGTCGGTATTGAAACACTATTAAGTAAACTTATTCATGAGAGAACCAGGCCTGCAACAAATAAATGACACGCACAAAGTATAATTTTGCAAGCAAATTCTTTAATTAAAATCTCATTTACCATGTATCATTAATTTGATCGAGATTAAGTTCTCAAGTAAGGTATAACCGCCCATTCGTCGGCTCACAACAATCAAAATTCTGAGTATTGCATATATAATTGCAGAAAAAACAAATTCAAAAAATTAAGTCTGAGTATGGGACAAACAGTAAATAATGCAGGAACAACATCCACCATAGACGATTTAGTGTATGACGTTAGGATGTATGCGCACGCATACCAGGAGTTGAAACGGCCGCTAATGGTCTGTAGTCACTTTTTCCTTTCATACATGCACTGAAACAGGAGGAAACGGCGGCACAGTTTGCAAACATAGCTGTCTCAGATTTTCATTTTCACTTTTTGGAAACAGAGAAGGCGATGTCATGGGCGGATGTATACAGCGCCCACGCGCTTATGAATTTCATTAATTTAGTTAATGCCTCGTACCATGAGGAGTTTCACCCCGAAAAATAGATGCGTCTTTTCAATTGCTATTTTCCTTAGCAATTTAATAGTTGTTCACTTTGAAATGAGACATCGAACAAAAACACAATACCCCAACGTCTAGTTTTTGAATTATTTCTTTAAAAATTCCAAATTATTGGCGAACCTACTATAAGCGGCTCTTGCAGGGCGAGTTAATTTTGTGCGCAAAATGGAAGCTTCGTTTTAGAGGGTTACAGACGCCTAGAGTTGGAATAAACTAGGCTAGTTTTTCGTTAAAACAAAATATTCAAATTGAAAATTCGATAGGAGAAAAAAGTCCATTTTGCTTGACGAACACGGGGTATGCAGCTTCAATTACGGCATTGCAATAGTTCATATACTCCCTACAAATAAAAACAATAATGGTCACCTTCCTTAACAAAATCCTGGATCTGCCCCTGCAAAGCGGCCACTTTCCCTACACAAACAACTACTGTATTTATATATTTTCTATAGGGGAATCATTTTGCGAACAAAAGTGGCAAATTATCTGGATAGTTTTGTTATTACCAAAATGAACAACGGGCGAGAACTTTGGGTTAAGAAATCAACAAACGTCCCTCAGACCCTACATACAATGAATTATTATTGGGTAAAACTAATTAGGTTAATACCAAAATGATGCACTTATTTCGCCTGAATATCTGAAAAGTAACAAAACCCCACTAACCTTCTTCTTAGACAATATAACAGTCACAATTACCAAAAGCAACAATGAAAATCAAACCAATAGCGTATTTACATGCAAAACATTACAATAAATCGTTCTCAAAGCTTTGGGTGTTGAATAGTCTTAATATGAAGGGAAATGACAAAAGTAGGCCTATTACCAATGGCTTATTCAAGTAAAATTCGACTGGTGTAAGATAAGACGGGCAATTTCGGTGAAAATACGTCTATCGTTTCGGTTTGCGGTAACACCATGTGGTAATAACTACTGCTACGATTGTTTACTATTATTAATAGTTCTTCAAAGAACGGTCTCATATCAACCTCTTTATTCTCCACCAGAATACGTCATTAAAGTTCAGCGAACTTCGATCTGTAAAACGTTTGCTCTTCTTATGAGCTATTTTTGACAAATTACAAATGTTGCAATGTAACTCAAAATCCACTTTTAGTTTAAAGAATGATTCACGAGGTGTTTGATTGTTTACGTTGACCTTATTGTAAAACCAAACGCATTTGATACTTTTATATGCTCTGTAAAATGCTTGAATTATTTTTACTCAAAAATTAACATTGCGTATTAAACACAATCTATAATCGAGATTGACATTTTATGAACCAATAGCAATCATCTCTACATTTGTACAAAACCAGACAAGAGACGTTACAAAAGTTCATCCTTAGTTACGTTGTATGAAGAGAATGTCACGACAGCTGCAACCATTGCCTTCAGTCCGTCTAGAATGAAAGGATAAGATTGTTACGTTGAGCACGATAAATGATTGGTATAAGCATTCAATGTTAACGTCATTTGTTGGAAAAGACTACCAAATACCAGTATTCCACGTGGAAAGATTAAATAATAAAAGAGAAAGTACTGCTGTAAACTGAATCATGTTTAATTCTACGTATGTACTTACGCAATATGGCTCAAGTTAAATCTCCTTAATGTCCTCCTTGACGGTTATCTTACGTATCTCCATATCCTGTTGATATTCCACAAATCCAGAAATATACATCAATCACAGGCTTTTTGTTGTTGTATTGATTTATACAAAGTGTAATAAAAAGAAAGACAGCAACAAAGAACTTTTCTTGAGCACATGAAAAGAAAAAAATCGTCAAACAAAAACCACGGAAGAGAAAAAAGCTTCCCGACTTGATATTCCAACATTTTGCATGTAATATTTTTGTTCTTTCTGTGAGAACTGATGTTATCAGATTTTAGTTTAAAAAAATCTAAGTATGTTCTAGGGGGGGGGGGGGGGTCGTGGAATTTTTTGCAGGGGGGGGGTGTCAGACCAGCCAGATTTTTTTATGTCCGATTTTTGCGGACGGGCGGACATAAAGTTAATAATTCTACTATAATTGTTATAATTTGTACGCGCGTATGTGTAAGCGCGGGGGGGGGGGGGGGGGCAGGCGCGGTTCTAAGGGGGGGGGGGGGCTAGGGGGCTGTAGCCCCCCAAATCTTTTGTCTAGCCCCCCCAAAATAAATTCCGTAAAAAAAAGGATTGTGATGTACATGCGAACGGTTTCCCCCTAAAGAAGAAATAGCCGTGACAAGGGTGCATTAGTTTATATAGTGTGAATGATTTAGGATTTTATTGGCGCTCCCCATTGAAAACATCGCATGAGCCCCCCCCCCCCCTCCACCTATTGATTTTCGGAGGCCTACGTGTCTGGAAAAAAATAACCGGTCAACATTTCAGCACGCCTCCCTGAAAAAAATCAGGATCCACCGTGCTAGCCCCCCAAATATTGGTTCTAGAACCGCGCCTGGGGGGGGGGGGGGGTGGTTTTGATCCCCCCCCCGATCCGCGCCTGCGTTCGTTCAATATACAATGTAAAAGCAGTTGAGGTGAATACGTTTGTAGAATAATTTGAATTCATGGACTGATATCATACTTATTTAGATGCTCAATATATCTCAGTTCGATGTGCTTTATTGAACACCAAGGTTAAAGTATGCTTCGGTTGCATCACTTTACAATTTAAGGTCTATGCCCAATATCTTACTCCAAAATTAAGTTTAGTCACTTTAACTCTTCGCATATGCTAGACTGTAGGCCTAGGTGTCGTCTCACCTTGCGAGTGGTTGGTGGCAGGAAGGCTTCCCGGTGCAGAGTTTTCATTCTCATCCCTTCTTCGACGGGCACCAAGGCGTGATCGTCACGGTGGTCAAGACTGTCAGCGTCTCCCGACGGGCTCTGGCTGCCGCTGAAGGCGGGGTCCACTTTGTTCTTTTTCCGAACCACAATGTAGAGAAGCAGAAATACCACGACGAGGACAAGACAGAGGGAGCATAGGATGATAAACACTAAAGCGACGGTAGGCAGACCACCTGTGTCGGAAGGAAGTAGCATAACATGTGTTAAATCGCCAGATGAAATGACTACAAATGTAGAATCGTACACTTGCAGAGGCTTAATTTGAATAGATCGTGACTTGGCCTGGTCTAAAGAACTCTTTATGGACTTGAGATGATGGACTCTAGAGGACTATGACTTAAAATCTGTCTTAAATTGTACTTTTTCCATAGGTCCTGCATTAATTGGAATTAAATGGCAATGTGAATATGTCCCACAGTCCCCGCCATTAAAAAGATATAACAATGTTGTAGGGAGTATAATCCTAATAGCTTTTTCCTCTGCTGGACGAGAATTGATTGTCTAGACTAAGACAATCCCTAAATTTATGTGAACAAATTTGCCAGTTAACATAGCCTTGTCCAAGGTTGTCTCGGCTTCTATGTTTGTAACCTTGAGAAGGATCGCACCGCGTACAGCACTTTTAGTCATCCTGACGATAATAATATTATGAAATGCATGATGACAACCTTATCAAATACATGATGATGCACTTACCATCACTTGGTATTGGATCAAGCTGCGTCTCGCATCGCTCCCCGGTGTATCCAGCCGAGCAACTAAATAAACATGACACATACAGTTGATGAATAACACATCTTCAATAAGTCGACGCAGATCATCTATTCATCTGTCTGTCTATTAATTGTCTATCAGACTATAACTTTATCCTAAACATGGAAATCTATTACTAGGCAATGATTCGACCTGCACACAGTTTTTATGCAACAACGTTGAATACAAAAACCTCCCGAATGCGCTGAATCAGAATTACTTTCCTTGGCAAGATTGAATTGTATTTGCCCAATTACCTGCAAATGAACCATGGGGAGAAGCTGGGCCTTTCACATGTCCCACCGTTAAGGCAGTGATCACTGGGGCAGGTTGTCAGAACCTCTGAAATAAGTACATAAGAAAATTGCTATGTTATCTAAATAATAACAACAAAAAACCAAACAAAAGTACGATTGTGCTGTTGCAAGGTACTGATTTTTGGTATGCTTAATTTTCGAAAGAGCTGACATTTTTGAAGCTTGTTAGTGTAATCTACTGTAGTAACATTTAATTTGTATTGGATTGTTCTACGGTGCAGAATAAACAAATAAAATCTAAACCGGTTTCCCGAGATAGATATACACTCAGTTATACCTTGAGCACGAACTGACTCCGGATCGATAGGAATCGTTGTACTGCCATCAATCAGGCTGGCACTACTTGACAAAACTTGTTCCAGGTTGACTAGAGAGGGCGCTCCATTCTCAGGGAATGATACCACAAACGTGACAATCAAACTGCCTGCTTCCATCTTTGTCACTTGCACTGATACAGCGTTACTTGTGGTCGGATTTGCCTCCAGCGTATTCATGATCTAAACAATAGATTCAAAGAAAAGTTGCCCTTTATTACAATGTCATTTCTCCTCGCTTCAGAACAAACTTCCAGTTTCTAAAAGGATCATTAGGTGGCAGTTTCAATTAGATAAATGAAGCCAAATAAAGTATACCTTTTGTCAGCAGAGCATAAGGCGTTCTGGGTTGTGTATGTGTGTGACCATGTCAAAATTACAAAATTCATTCCCCGCCCCGTCACCTCTGTGAATTGTCTTTTTAAAGGTAATTAAGATATTTCTTTAACAAAACATTCTCATGTTAATTTTAGCTTAGTATATTACCGCCCGTTCAAACATTGCAGCAGTGGTTTTGAACGCGGTAGACGTTGGATTCGTGTAGGAATCGGAGAAGTTCAATAGTGCTCTGATCACCACTCCAATTGAAGGGTATTCTAGAAATAAACAAACATATTATGAAAATGGTTATTAATCGCACCCTCACAAACAATAAAAAAAAAGCTGCGGACAGGGCGATCAGTTTCGCATGCCATTGAATTGAGTACAGTTGTATTTGTAAGGAACTTATAGGCCTTAATGGTATTTTATACCATGACGTCATATAATGAAGAAAGATAGATGAACTTAAGTCAAATACGCTGTCTTACGTTTACACGACCCATCGTCGCTTTGGACGTATCCTTCATAACCGCGGCAGTGACATGCGAAGCCCTCTTCGTTTTCATCTGGTAAACAATGCTGACCAGTCTCTGAACATAAACTGCTATTAGACAAACAAGGATTCTCATCTGCAAAAAGAACAAAATCAAGAGTTTATTTACTTAAGACCGTAATCAGTAATTCCGTCCGCCAAATGAATGCGTTTATAAATACTTGAGTGACAAAGCTTTGGCGGTTGAATGTCTTAATGAAGAATATTGTGCAAACGATGACCTTCAATCAATTGCCTGTAAAATCAAGACTGAATTGAAATATTGTAAAATGCATCGCGACACAAAAGAGATTCATGAAGCTAATGACGTGATTACTATAATACTTTCAAATTCATTTCACGATTCTATATTGACGTACCTGCGCAGGTAGGTCCAGAATATATCAATGGACAGATACACTCACGAGTGTCTTCATCAAATTCCCCTCCATTCAAACAGCTGGAAACTAATAGTTCTGTTTAAAGGTGAAATAAAATCACAATTGGCTAAGAAAGAGTAGGCATAGTTTTCAAAATACTCGTCAAACACGTTAGAGCCATGTAACAGACCCAGGGGCAGACCCACTTCAAGCTTCGGCTTCTTGTCTAACCTCCCAATACTATTATTTCAAGTTCCGTTAAAGTTTTTCCCAATGTATTGTATTCATCTTACCTTAAGTATGGAAATTATCCTGAAACCTGAAACGCAAGCTATTGGTAGCTTGGTGAGAAGTTTTAAATCTGTTCTTGACTCTTATTGAGTAAAAACAATTCTGTCTCCATGGCTCATCAGGCTGGTAGCTCTGACCGGTTTCTCCTTGGAATGAAATGATTTAGATCATTTCTGTTTACCCGGGTGGGGTGTTACTTCATCACAAGTGACTTTCAATCTCCAGAGAGACGAAAGGGGTTGAATGGCCTGCTCTAGAATACAACATACAACCAGCAGCCACATTCGATTTTATGACGCTCTGATTGCATTTTGGAAAATCTACACCTCCGCAATCCAATGAAGCCACTCTACAAATTTATGTTATTGAGGAACAGGGTGAATTGACATTAAACCTGGCAGTCTTGCCGACACATCACATTATTTACATTCCTATCTTAATACATTCTTGTGGTTTGACACATTCTTTTTCAGCTGTGGATTTAAAAAGTCAAAGATAATTTTCAACAAGAATCACATAGGGCATTCCCTCCCTGCTTTATCCTCTACACGTCCCTCCTTGTGAACATCAGAATTATTGACTTCACCTGCAGTAACAGCATCGTGATAAGAAATACCCCACCTGCTCCAATCAAACATACCCAGGCAAGTCTTCCCATCCTCGTCCAGATAGTATCCCGTGTTGCAGCTACATTTAAAACCCAGCAGGGTGTTCTCGCAGATCTGATCACATCCACGCCCGCCATTGCTGGCTGGCTCATCTTTGTACAACTCACACTCATCGATATCTGCAGGGAGTTAATGAACGTTAAAGTTATGTTGTTAATTTTAAATATCACACGGAAAAATGTGCTTACTTAAACTTATATGTTTCTAGCAATACAAAAATTCTGACCACTTTTAAGTTATGGAATAATTGCTTATAGAATAATTGCTCGACAGTAATTCATTCCTCGCAGCGTAGACTGTTGCTCGCCGTTTATAACGAATAGTAACAAAGGGACCGACTGGGACCCAGTCTCTACTATCAGGGCGGATCTCTCTGTCTGTAAAAGTAACCAAAATACAAGCTTTTTACAGAGGTTCGAAGATGCCAATATTGAATTAAAAGTACGTTTTTTGTTAAAGTAATTAATACATATAAAAAAATCGTCAGGGAAAATATCTTGTACTTTTGAAGATCATGGATAGTCCATCGTTATGGTATTTGTGTAGTGGCCAGGGCGCGATTTTTTTTCAAACGACATCCGCATGGGGTGTACGCTATGACGTTTTGGTCTTTAGTTCTCATGAGAAAAAATATATAAATTTGAAAAAAAAGAAAGGTATTCGCAAAAAATGAAATTCTGACTTTATTTTCCTTAAAAAAATCCTCCAAAGCCTCAGATTAGAAAAGACAAAAAATTCGAGTACAAATGGTGATGCGAACCCATACCGCGAGGATCCCTCGCGGTACAAAATTACAATCCTATTCAACTGAGCTTTCGAACTGCTCGACAAATCATGGAAATTCAGGGTAATATATACCTGCGTACATATGTTGTTTGGAAAAAAAATAATTCGCGGCCAGGACGGATAGGGATACACATTATTTCTTGCAACTGGTTAAAAACTGCCTTATTAGTGTCATTACATTATTGAGTACGCCAATCATCACTGTGTTTAGAAAGATTACAAGTCGCATACATGGCTTATTTTGTCCCTGGCCATTAACAAATATACATTGTATTTCAATCCTTTTCCACACGTGAGTCTCTATATTTTCTAAAATGTTTATCAATACGGTATAATCATGTCATTTTGAATTATTACCTGTGCAGGTTTTTCCATCGCCTTCAAGTCCCTCTGGACAAGATCCACATGTGCTATTCAAAGATGGCGGGTCTTCATCTACGCACTCGACGCCCAGGAAACATGGACTGTCTGCGCACGCGTCATAGTTTGTCTGACAGAACTCTCCGGTCCAACCTGGCTCACACTCGCACAACAAAACCTGATGAACAATTTGCAAACACACATATCATTGACACTAGCATGCACAGTGCATTTGAAATTGATACTTTGAGAATGAGAACTTGTCCTCAAATACTTACTGATTCCAAGCTAGACCATTGGTACTGTTTGATCAAGACCTGCACAGAATCATGTTTAAAATTAAGGCGCAAAGGATTGTGGGTGGATGACAACGTAGTCAATGCACCCTGTACCGCCACTGTCTGTTCGCTGGGTGGGGACAGTTGTTTCTCACGTCAATTTGATGCACGTTTAAACTTACATATTCCAGTTGTTCTCCATGACTTTTTGAAATGGTTCTTGTGTTATATTATTTGTTAGTGTTTCGTATAATTCTTGGACTTTGACTAATACATTTGAACTGTGTGACAATATCGCACCGGAGATTTTTATTCATAGCGTGATAGGTCGGAATATTATGAGACTATAGTGGATGGTTTGTTTTAAAGCTAGACAAATTGTTTTCATTTACCCCAAAGCGGTCTTGAATGAGATTGGTACCGTCAGCATACTGATCCGAGAGACACGTTCCGCCATTTTGGCAGTCACAAAGATTCACTATTGGCTCAATTGTAGAATTAGTTCGTCCATCTGTTGCTAAGAAACCGACCTTGACCTTTGACTTGTCAACTGGTGTCCAGGTAAAAAGGCCATCTGTAATGAGAAATATAAACGGCCTACTTCAGTAATATTCACCACAGCTCTAACCGAAATGAAGTTACTGAATACCGCCTTTGACATTAACTTCACATTTTTGAAAGCGGAGATGATAAAAAAGGAAATTTCTCAGAAGAGTAAGTTGAAAAGATTAACAGGATTTGCAATGATTTAAAATTTAAGGCCCAATGATTTTACATATGGAAACATGCTATTTGAAAAACAAAATAAGTGCGGTATGTAAGTTATCAATTAAAACGAAAATGTAATGCAGAAAAGCTTCTTCAAATTCTTCCTGTTTCACCAACCTCCTTCTGTAATAACGGCACTTTCAACCGCCTCGAGCAGGTGATATGCAACCTCGTCCCCATCTGGATCCATAGCTTCCAATTGCAGGATGAGTGTCTGTCCGACGGTTGCCTTAATGCTCGCAATGGGCGTCCATTTGGGCGGGTAATTGGCTGGAAAATAATCGCGTCCACTATTAAGTTAGGTTGTGCATGTGTTACATGGAGTTTGCTGAAAAAACCTTCAGATTTCTTATGTTATCCCTTACACTTCGATTCGAAAAGCAGAGACTAATATGACAAGAATCTTGATAAAGTTTTATTAAAGAAATGCACAGCCATTTCAAAGAAAAATATAACTGTATGCAAAAATGCACCACAGAACTTTTTCAAAAAGAGTCAATGTGTTGAAAGGAAGTCAATATTGGATCATTGCCGATAAAATAGTGCGTAAAAAACAGATATTTCTGTGGAGATCAAATTGACCGATCTGTTATTTGGTAAGATCAGTTCGTGGAAATATTTCAAACATGAAAAGGCATTAAAACGTATAAAATTATTTGAATTAAACTGCCTTTCTCATCGCCAATTCAATTGACGTTTGTCGAAATGCAAATGCGAAATTCAGATGACTCCCAATGAATACTTCTATCAAATTCGTCCACTCGGTACGAAATCGAAAACCAAATTGGCGAAAAAGAATTTTTCTGCAGGAAAAATCTTGACCACACGCTTAGTTGAACACATATGGAATGCTCTAACTGCAATTTAGAAACCCTATTCCTACTCAAGTCACTGAAACCTCCCTAAGTGCAATGAACATTCTTTCTGTGACAAGTTGCGAAATTGGGTAAGAAAACCTATACATGTGTAGGATGGCTTGAGGTCAATTTACTGTTCTATAAATAAGCATTTCACAGTGAGTTAAAATGCATTTTCCCTTTCCCACTTTGCTTTAAAAGCTCATCAGAAGGGATGTGTTATTTTAGTATATCCGGGAATGCTCCCCAAAATTAGCAAATACTAAAATTCATTCAGTTTATCCAACTAAGTACATTTTCATCGCACTTACTTGCTGATTCGAGGTCTGCACTGTTCTTTTCATTAAGTTCCAGAGTGGCCATTCCGATTGACGTATCATTCAGTGCCAACGAGTCGTACAGACACTCTCTGCTCTCCCCACAAACCTCTTCCACCTTTTGGCGTGTCTCTGCATCCACGCTGTTTAGTAAATCCTCCAGGAATTTCGGTTGGAAGGACAGGTCATTCATGTTGTCCCAGCTCTCCTCGGGTGGCAAGTAGTAGAAGTGGGAATCATTGACGGAAACACGCCCTATATGGTACCAAGGAAACATTAAGAAGTTAAACACACAAAAACCGCTCGCTATCATAAAATCTTAAATTCGAATGTTGCCTGTACTAACGGGTACTTAATTGCTTTCTCAGTAACTCACACATGCATACGTGGGTTTTTCGAAGCAAATCAACAAACAACTACCCCTGATGACACTCAGCCAATCTCCGGACCGTTGGTACGGGCAAAATCTACACATATAAGTTTGATGCCCCCTCAAGTACAGATAGTTAATGTCATATCTCTGCATGTCAAAGCACATTTGAGGATTCTGTTTGCTTACAGGTTTCGCCGAAATCAAAGTAGTCGCGTTCAAGCATCTCCCCATCAGCACCGGTGGGTTGTTGAAGTGTACCGTTACGCTTCAGGACATCATTAGTCTTGTTTCCATCCCAAACACCTGATGATAATAACCAAAAACAAATAAAAATTACAATGGCAAGAGCTACAGTCATTCGGTTATAGAGATTTTGTGCTGGTGGATTCAAATCAAAGTAAATGCAAAACCTCATGTCCCTCTAGCTACGTTTTTTATGAAACATGGCTTTACGAAATGCATAGGTTAACACATAGACAGAACTACATAATTCATCGAATTACCTCCATAATAATATTGTCGTTACCCAGTTTCTATTATTCGTTTGGAACCTGAGGCGGTTGATCTATGATTCAGTGTATCATGTTGGGCTAGTTAATTGAGCGGATCGTCCTTCCACAACATTACCACTGAATGAAAGATTAGCTAGGTCATCATAATACATAATATTATATTGAACATTTATTGTAGCGCAAAGAAATATCAGTGTAAACAAATTCATTGTAAAAATTACATACCCAATAGGCCTTTAGTCCTTCCTCTGTAATCTTGGCTAAGTTGGACAGTGATGTCAACAAAACTGTTGTTCACTCCGACGGAAAACTGGATATCTGAAGCAAATGATGCCACCACTTTTGAAGGCTCCTCCTCCCTCTTCACAGTTAAGTCATCAAACATCAATCCTGAAAAAAACCCGAAACACCGGATCTTTCTGTTACTTTTCTGATATATAATATGTTGAACGACCATGCTATTCAATGGATCCACTTTTTATTTGCCTCCTATCGGATTCCCAACCCGTGTGTGTAATTGTAATGGAAGCAACTACTGTCTGAATGGGCGGTTACACTAGTTCCCCCTCCTTACATTGTTAATCATGATGAGGGGTGGGAACCAGTATAGAATGCGAAAACTGAATTGTCGAGCCGCAAATAATTCGAAACTTGTGAATTATAGTATTCCATAACACAGCGTGCTTGATTTGTTTTCGTTCGAAGTCATACAAGTGAATATCCTTTGTATTTCTAGGGAAATGTTTTAAAAATACAATACTAATTTCAATTGGAACTAGATAACACTGATAGTACATGTACATCTTTGATGTGATGCAAAAACAATCTGTACCCGTTCATAATGCATTTAGTTTACAATCAATGATTCCTTTGAGACTTAGTTTCCTTTGATTGAGTATCAATAACGAAGCAGCCAATGAAGAAAAAAAACCCCAACGATTAACCCTAATTAAGAGGTGACAAGATTTTCTGAAGGATATACGTTTAGGGAAGTTTAATAATTTGTGAAATCAAATTACAAGACGGCAATATTGTAATTCAATGCTCCAGTGCACTGCAAATACTGTGTTAAGCAATAACACTTGCATACTAGCATGTTCTGCATATGCTGTCACTTTGTTAACATGTTAAAATGCAGAACATGTTAAGAGTCTCAATTGATAGGGTTTAGCAATTGAACATTGATTTTGGGAAATGAACACGTAATGTTTAACTTCTAAACATGTTTACAGAGCGATAGCAAGGTTCTGCGTTATTATTGAAGAAACATCAAGGCTCCAAAAAAGAGTCCCTTTAATTGGCACAAGCATCAGAACGTCAAAAATCGCAAATTTTGCAGAATGTTATTTTTAAACTTTAAAACTGAACGGCATGCTTGCAAGTACTTTACAACACAACTTTACATAAGGAAATTGTATTTCAAGCTTACCTGCCATTGTGGGTTCAACCACTTCCCCATTGACTGTCGTTATAAGGTCTGTGGCGTCTTCGTTCAGTTTTATTTCAACCTGTTGCGATAAAAAAACACAATAATACTGGCACAGTTAGCATCCATCTCAAATCAAATGTACATATATTATAGACTGCTGAGATTAATATGGATTGAAAGATGATGAAATACACTTTCTTTACATAAGTTACTGAGGAATAGATGGCAAATTTGTTATTAATTTCAACTAAGATTGTCTGCACTACGCCACAACTTTAGTTTTTCTTTGTCAGATTGATACCATAATCAGGTGTTAAGTTTATATTTTTATTATACACATGAGAGTTCTATATACATGTACTAACCCTGGAACCGCTGACACTGTCTAAAGCCGCAAAGCCGCTGTACTCGGTAGCATCAGTTAGTTGCTCCGTTTTGCGGTCAACCACTCTCTGCGTGCGGCCTTGAAGCTCGAACAGTTGTTCGCCTCTTTCTACGTCTTCAATCAGGACCAGTGTGTATTCACCCAGACCATTGAAGGTGTAGTCCAGACCATCCAGTGTTCTCACGTGCGGATCTCCCCAAAACCAACCTTGTGATTAAGGATAGAACATGAAAAGTATATCACATGAACCTACTAGTAAGTAAGTAATTTCGATTTTCGATTTAGATGGGCCAAGCTACATGTATAGTCTAGAATTTACAATGACCTTATATTTTTATCATATTTTAAATGTGACAATAATTTCGTTTTTCACGAAGATCATGAACCTTTTTTGAGCAACGCGATCAAACTCCGATGAGGTGTAGGCCTAAGTAAACAATGTTTCAGCCTGAAAAAAAAGACAAATCTGTTGTTTTGTATGAATGGCGGTCTAGGTGTTTCTTTTGTAACATCATTGTCACTCACAACTTAAACAGAAAAGAAGAAAGGACAATCATGTCGTAAGACACTTACCCCAAAACGTTGGCAGATAGTGAGAGCAAGTCATGAGAGGGCGAGTTTCAGTATACAGGTCACACAGGGTCGAACTTTCACAACAGTAATAGCGGGAAAGAACCTCTTCCTCTGCAAAAAGTAAAAATATCGCAGGAAATAACATCATCACTTTCTGAGTAGGGCCTGCGATGTGTAGTCAGTCACATCATGCATCCCGTAATCTTTAAAACTGAACACAATATGCGTCCATGCATGCATCATTGAATGGAAGTCCGACAGTGATTCACTCACAGCTATCTTATGATTTGGTTTGGGATTACTTACCGTACCACTTCTGAAACACATCAGGCGTGTGGAATAATGGACTGAATGGAAACCTCTCAAAGACTGAAGCGACTCGAGGATTCCTGATGTCGAGCAGGAGATCACCAGTCGATCTCTTATAGCAGCATTGTGGGCCAGGGGTGCCCGGGGCTTGATACAGTCGCACGAAGCAAGTGACGGCTGAAACAAAGGCAAGAAATAAAAACAACAACAAAACGTGCTCCTTTTAAATTATATTCAAATGTTTTTTTTGTCTGACTTGTTTTCACTTAATGCATGCCCCGTGCTCATTTCCAGTTTCATCCCGAAAAGATCCATTTTCTATATGCTATTTTTCGTGCTATTTTTCTAGCAATACAAGAATCATTCACTTTTCACTTTCAAATGAGACATCGACCGAAACAATCAGGCCATATTTAGTTACTGATATTATAACTCTACAATTTTGAATTATTTGCTGCTAGACAGTAATTCCCGTTTATCACACCACAGTCAGTATTGATAATGTATGGACCGAGATCGAGTCTTCTCGAACAGCGGATCTGTTTGGGCCCAAAACAAAACTTTTTTTCAGAGATTTGCAGACGACAAAATATCGTGAAAAAAAAGGTTTGGGAATAATACCCCGAAAGATAAAAATGCATCAATGGAAAGAAAACAAAATATCGAATTTGTTGAAAAGCACGGGAACGCAACTTTAATACCAATTTTTACGGACATTCCGATTCAGTTAAGTCCTTTTCAGAATCACATTTTTTTTTAAATATTAGTTTTAAAATATCAAAAGGGGCCAACAAGTTTCGTTTTCATAATATCCACATTTGATGAGACTGGTAGTCTATTGCTTATTTCGTTTTCTGAGACACTTCGATGAGAAAGTTATTGAACTGTGTTATTTTGGATAAAGAAAAGAAAAAAATACTAACATCTGTCTTGAAAGTAATCCCAGACGACCCCCTCAGGAACAAAATAAGGATGCCACCACCATATGCTAAGAAATCTCCAATCGAACCAGGCCATTATCAAACTGCAGGGACACGTGTTGGCAAACGGAGGGTAGTACACGTCGAAGACTGGATACGGTTGCTGATGACTGTGCCAGTTACGGCATGATAAGCGCGGGTTGATGAAGTCATCTGGGAGGCTGTCAAGTTGGAACACCCAGCGGCCTTTCTGCCCTGAATTCCCGACGATGCTTCCTGGACGGAACAACGAATCCGCAGGGACATCCACGTATACGCTCTGGCTAGAAACACCGCACGTGTAGCCCAGGATGACGTTTTTGTTGGCTAGAAAGGCGGTGTCCCAATTCATGTTACAAGGATCGTAGTTGAATATGACATAGCTATGGATGGAATCCGTCAGGAGTATGGCCTGGAATGTGTTCGTATCCTGCAATATTAGCAAAAAATGGAATACATTTGATGGGAAATGTTTGCAAGACATTTCAAACCAAGGTTTCATAAAGATAAATTTATGCACTTAATAAACATTAGCATGGTTTAATTATAAACTATAGGGGAATAGCTTTTCAATGATATCTTGGATACATTCCTCAGGTCATGCATCATTGAGTTCCATTGTTTGAAAATGGATATGTGAAAAAACCTCATTGAACAGTTTGGTAAAATATCGTGAACAACACCAGACATAAGACTAGTAACTTCAAGGGATAAGAAAACAGAACAAAACAAATTTGCATCAAATGATCATCTTGTGCCGCAGCGTGAGTTGAATTTCTGTACGTATCTTCAAACATCACTGGCTGCGGCGCGGGCACAAAACGGTGCCCAAGGCCACAGATTCATTGCTGTCCGGAATCACTTTCTGTGGAATGACCTCCCAAGTCACTGGATATGACTCCTTGTGACCCTTTTTTGGGGGGGTGGGTGGGGGGGGGGGGGGGGGAGGGGGATGGGGGAGCGGGGAGATTTAAAATACAAGTTTTTTAGCACTCCACCTCCCACATTCCGGATTTGCAAGTCTGCATTTAGCACGAGGTGGACAATTTACGTGATACACCTGGATTTTTGATGACAAGCGCAATCAAAGATATGCGCCGCTGTGGAAATTTGTTGTAAAAGGGCAGGTGGACATGTGGAAGTTGATACATGTAAGGTGCTGAATCTTGAATATTTACGACTATTAAAGTGACATTGATTCTGTTATGTGCATTTGTTCATAACGTTCAATATCACTTGAACTTACTTGTATTACATGAATGTTTGGGTGTGCTCTTTTAATGTTTACCCAAAACTGTCCCAAGTGGGTTTTTACATACAACTGTCAAAACATTAAATTAATTTGATGCATAGCCAAGATATCCATGGAAAGCTCACTGCCCCTATTTTATGATAAAACTAATAAAGGTCATTAAGTACATTACTTGTTAATAAATAATCCCTTTGTTTTGGGGTTACCTTTATTGGGAATGGGGGTGACTCTCTATAATTTCATTCTGTAAGGCAGTCATTTGTTGAATTCGTTTTCCCTTGCATTTAAGAACATGTTTACAGGAATGTGTCGGTGTAATTCGATATTCTTAAAGGTAATGTTACTCACAGCTGCGATTGAAACTGGTTGAACATTACTCCAAGTGACAACTAGTGCCCAGTATGCTGCTGCCGTGTAGTTCTGAGCTCCCATGGCAGTTGATACAATGGCTTTGATCATATCTAACATGTCTTGGTTGGTGTTGGGATCGTACTGGTCATACACCTTGGGAGGAAAATATTCCATGTTGAGAAATAGTGCAGCTTGTTTTATCACATCCTTGTGGAAAAGCACAGGTTAACGGAGATTAGATGGCTTTTTCATTCAATAGTTTGTTTACTATCTCTAAATTTATACTGGTTACTTATATTCATTTATTATTATGCTCTAACAGCAAGTACTTGTAGTGGAAATGGACGACTTAAAGGGAATATACAACATTTGCAAACATCGGAAAACAAATCAACCCTTTTTTTACGAAAAACCCTACTAGGATGTTGGTAAATGACAGTTTAAAGCATCCTGTAAAATTATGGCACCAGGTGTGAAGTCATTTTCAAGAAAATTGGTATTTTGTATAAATTTCCAACGGTGGTCGGCCGACCACCGTAGGAAAAACCTGACTATTTCTCAACTACTGCTCCAATTTAACATTTTTGTTCAGTCCAAATTTTGTTTGCTATTGGTTACATATTCATGAACGGGTGCATGCCAGCTAGAGTGGTTCCATTACCTTACAATTTTCTGGCATCTATAAATTGATCCATTTCATCTTTAGTGGAGTCAGGGAACCAGACTCCTCGAACATTTTTGTTTTTCTTAGTTTTTACAGCATTTTCGAACACAAAACTTCAAACATGTCAGTGTAACAATATTTGATCTATTAAATAGTTCATTTCTGAAAATTACAACAATTGCCAATGATGTACATTCCCTTTAAGATACCATGCACCAGTGGCGTCGCCAAGGGGGGCCGGGGGGGGGGGGGGGGGCACGTGCCCCCCCCCTGGAAAACCTAGTGCCCCCCGAGTGCCCCCCCCCCCCATCAAATGCTGGTGCCCCCCTATCCTCTGCAAAATTCTGCGCGTTGTTAAAATCATTACCTCAAAAATAGCAATTTCTTGAGATATCTTCAGATCGAATTTAGCATCAAATGTGGCACCATTTTGCATCTAGCCCATCCTCCGTATGCGAAAATTTTCCAAAGGGGAGGGGGGCACCCCCTCCCCTTAGACCCCTCCCCCAGGACGGCGATCCGTATCCACCTAAGTGCCCCCCCCCCCCATCAAATGCTGGTGCCCCCCTGTGCGCCCCCAGACTGAAAAGTCTGGTGACGCCACTGCCATGCACTCGTTCACATATTAGTGAGGTGCCTGTATACAGGTTTAAATATCGGTGACCAAAGGACAATTTAAATTAGCACTTGTCTCATTCACTTTTTAAGTTTTGAGGTTCGATGTTCTCCTTGGCATTCAAAATGCAGAGGTTTTTTTAGGCTTGATTCGTGGAGATGGAATATCAATTGAATGATTCAGTATTAAGTCACATTCTAAAAAACTAATAAATTCTTGCAAACACTTTTGTCGTGCCATTACCTGCCAGAAGACGTTCCTTTTGTTGGAAAAAGCATCTGCTTTGACATCCGCCCAGAATGGTGCTATCATTTTCAGACCGTTAGGAAACGCTGGACTTTTGGTACCAGGAAACGCAAATTTATCGAGGCTTTTATCATTCGACAGAACAATCACGCCGTTGTCAGTGAACTGTACAATGAGAGAAAAAACAAACAAGTACCTTGGTTTCATTTTTACGAATTTGAAACCGCTCAAGAAAACACCAAAAATGTTTACATGCGAGATCATATAACTATAGCCAATCACAGAAAAGGGAGCATCGTTAAAATAATATCGTTTCATTAAAAATCTAAATGCAAATCATTACAACAATTGCCACAGAATTTAAAGAAATTTTAAGGAAACGTCATGGAATGCTGAAGAACATGGAGTTTGTTGTGCTGAACATTTTGCACATTGTGGTCTAATGTTTTGCCGGTGCCTACAGTAATCTTGGGATGAAGCTTACGTAAATTTTCTCAAACAGCTCATCGCAAAAGGGGAAGAAATTCGGCGGATAAATAGTTGGAGATATCAAATCCTTCTTGGACTGCTGCTTCTGTAACAATAAAAAGTGAAGAAACCAAAAAACGATTTGTCAAATTTGAAAATGCAGAGGACTAAAGAATTTTGGTTCTTTTCAGAACCATTTCTCTTTATTTTAAAAACAGTCACTTTTCCCTTCCTTTCAGTTGTTATTCTCCAACATTTAAAACCTCAAATATTTTTGTACATATTTTTGTACATTCTCAAACGAAGTCATAACCCTAAAAACATTCATCACAGACCCTTCTAAAAAATATGTAAAGCGGAATATTTGAATATTGAGCGTCTTAAACTGGAGAAATTCAAAACTACTTGATTTAAAATGATTTTCTGTCATGAGTTTTATTTGACGTGTTTGAATGCGTTATGTCAGTAAATAATGCTTACCTTTTGTATTGCTTGTGATAGAAGAGAATCGCCAACCTCCAGCCCAAATGGAATGTGATTACCAACTGTAAACATAGCATAGTTAAATGTCAACACTGCAAAATCTGCGGTGTAAATCTAACACCATTGGTATATTAATAGGAGCATGCAGTGGTTTGAAAATGTTACACCGGTGGCCAGTCCTATATTGATACCAATTGTTTTAAGTTTAGGACCGCTGTTTTTGAAGTGAATGGAATAACAGGCTAGCTATAACGTGTAATAATTGACGTTTGTTTTATGTAGTAAAGATCCAGTCACTAGTAATTATGATATCAACACAACATCGTTTGATGAAAGTCGCGGAAACTACTGGTTCCGAGGTGTCGTCTAAGGTAGCTGAGATAAGCCAACACGGAGGGACCAGTAATGTTGCGTTCCTTCTCCAAAATAAACTATTGTTAAGTTCACTAACAAAAGTGGAAACATTCCAAGGAAAATCCCTCATTCGGAATGCGGAATATCGTTAATCTATTTATGAAAGTTTTGCAAAGATACTACAAGCAACTGCACCACTGATCACATGGTGTGAAATCTAGTTATGTGAGCGTGCGGGAGAAACTCTTACTTCCCATAAAAAATTGCGCGTTGGAGCATTGACCAATGATAATACGCGTTTGGCTCATAATTATAAACGAGATGTAATAAAAGTAGTTATCAGTTATTATCGCTGATCCTGCACGTTTCAACATGACTTACCAATGACGTTGAATCCAAATGCTTTCGATCTGACACATCCACCTGAATTGATGGCAGTGCATGTTATAACGTGAGTTCCTACTCCAAATACACCTCCTGATGCGCCCACGTCCATTCCATCTCCAGAATCTGTGCAGGTGACGACTAGGTCACCAGCGGCTGTGGCTGGTACTACACTCCAAGTTACTGTTGATGTTTCCTGTCCTGGATTGGTGCACTGGTCGCCTAAATTTGGAACTCCGAGAACGGGATAGGCTGCACGGTAGGTGAGAACAAAATCTTAGCTGACACTGAATGAAGACCAAAATTTGACAATAAAATCTAGTTCAAGAGCACTGCCAGAATTTAAATAGATAATTGCGTCGGTTTTGATGAGCTTCATGAAAAGACGAGGCTTCGCCTTGGTCGCTTTAAGAGGCGGATTTGCAGCCCGTCAACCCCTGAACACACACCATACACACCCACACGTACTAGCAGGCGCTTTATACTATAATGATGATAACATCGGATTTTGTTTAATGAATTGTATATCTGGATAAAGTAGGGACTATGTAGCAATACGACGAAATATGTTCGGATGGTGGGTATGGGATTACGCAAGTTGTCAAGTTGTTGTACATTAGTTTACAGTCGGAGAACGAAAGTAATATTCCAATTCATGTTTTGTTAATCAATATTGATATTAAGTAGACAGTCTAGGGTAATGCTACTCGTTCTCTTACTTGAAACAGTAAAGGAGATCAAACACTGTGGGACGACACCGTTCTGCGTATCCGAAGAACAGACAACTTCGTGCGTCCCTATCCCAAACACGCCCCCTGTGAGTGTGACACTAGCCCCGTCGGTGATATCCACGCAAGTGATGTCAGAAGGAAAGATTGGTTGACCAGATGGCTCGACAGCTGCGACTTGGGTCCACGTGATTGACACGGAGGTCACGCCCTGTTTTAGACACTCGTTTGCAACTTCTGGACAATTTGTTGCGGCGCTCACTGTATGGAAACAAATATTGGGTCGTCTTCTAAACATTCCTCCAATAAAATTCACATGTACTAAGTGTCTTACTAAAAGCCAAAATTTGACAGATTTTATCCATCTTAAATATCATGTGGATGACTGACACATCTTCCGTACATTCTGTCGGTAAAATGTTATTCATCTTTACAACCCAAAACAAACACGGAAAGCACCACAGATTTTCAATGAGCAACGTTAACAGCATTTCCTTTCTATTGATTGCTTAAGTGGGTTTGTGTCTCAGGATTATTCCGATCATGAAATGGAGTGGTGTAATGTAAACATAAAATTGGCTATTATTTTGTTTAGGGCATTGAGGCTTGCGTGACTTCGTTGTACAATGAGAATCAATCTACAACAAATGTAAGTACATCTTTGGGAAACAGCAGATGAGTCAGCGATTCCTATGACTGTGACCTTCTTTGTGTTGATGTTACTCACGTTCATTGCACTGTGGACCTGTGAATCCTGAAAAGCATTCATTGATGTCCTTGCAATTTCGAAAGGGTGTGTTGGGTCCAGTACATTCAGTTCCCACGTCGTTCACTGTTTCATTGGGAAATAAGACATGAATTTTAACATTTGATTATCACTTACTATATTGGTCGTAATGAAGACTATTTCAAAATGGACGTATCATTTCTACGTTGTAAACGCTCGCAATTGTAGCCGTTAAAGTAGCATGGTTGTATGACTCTCAGTCATATAAAAAGAAGTGAGATTTTGGTCAATGTGATCTTACGTGAGCAATCATGTCCACAAAATCCTGACGAACACATGCAATCCCTTGGCTGATTTGAAGAACATATGCAGCTGTTTGGGCTACCAGTAGCTAGGCAAGACTCACCGTCTGTATCAAAATAAAATAAAATAAACTTGCAATTTGAATTATATACTTTTCTATGTAACGGTGACTATGAAAGTTAGGTAAATGAGAAGATATCTTATTTCAAGACATCTGCTTTGGTCTTAAACACATCTTACCGTTCACGGAGGAAACGATGACGAGTGTGTCGCACGTTGCACTATTCGATGACTGGTCGGTCGCTTTGTAGCGCATCAAATGTGGAGACGTCTCAAGATCGAAAGTGACAGTGTCACCAATCTCGTATGGAGAGCCGTTTACTTGGACGGTGATGGTGTACGATGCTCCAGAGTTGTCATATACAGAATGGACATCAGGCAGAGAGATTGTTGAGAAGCTCTTGTGACAGTCCGTGTAAACCGTCAGATTATTGGCGCAAGAAATGTCCGGAGGCTCAACATCTTCAATGAAAGTTAATGTAGAATAACAAGGCAAACGTAAATAGTCTACTTTTCACCAGGGTGTTTTGTTCAATGTCTCCTGTGGTTTAGTTTGGCCTTCTTCGTGCAGATTATATGTAGATATGCCAATTTTGTAAGTAAATTAGTTTGGGAGGTCAGTCACAATTTCGGGATTCATGATTCTAAATAATTAGGGTACCACATGTAATGCAAAAGTACGTCTACTACAGAAAATAAATTGTTCCAGCTACAATATTCACCTGCGCACGATGAACCATTTCCAGTATATCCAACGTTGCACACGCAGTAAAAGCTCTGAGCCGTGTCCACACAGTAAGCATTCTCATCACAGTCATGTAGAGGATCATCCGGGTCACATTCGTCGACATCTGTAACAGAAATTAGTAACGCAGAAATAATTACCAAATATAGTATCGACATACAGTTAGATCAAGAAACAGATGAGTCACTACAACAATTTTCTCGATTGTGAAGTAGGCAGCCCACGATGATATATTACTTCATCTTCCCACAAGTATTAAATGTCGGTCAATGACCTTTTAAAGTCTAAATTCACCTTATATATGCTTATGATGTAGGTTCAATTATTCTAACGTTTACACCTTAAGAGTTTTCTTTTCTTTATCTTCTGTTTTAAGTGTATGTTCCTTTAAAGTGACTAAATATCCCTGAGACAACAACACTCGCCACAACAACGTGAATTATATCACAACGGTTTTAATTTGTGAGTGAATAGAGAAGTCATTCTTATATTGTTAAACATAGTGTGAGTTAGTGGTAAACATCCTTATTAGACTTAATACCGGAGTCTTGTATAGCGCATGTATCTGCCAACAATTAGGTACTCAAGGCGCTGGAAATTATGTCTATTATTAAAGACAGGTAAATGACGTTTATGAGAAATATGAGACCCATTATGTAGCACCTTATAAGGGTATACAAGGCGGCGCATATTCACCTGGTGATTCCGTGGGATAATCTGGAAGCGTGCAATAGACGTAATAGTCTTCGCAGCAATCTCCGTAGAGCTCGCAGGCACCGTCACACCAGCATCCTCCCCGCGAACCGTCAAGGAAACAGAAATTACGACAACCAACTGAAAAGTAAAATTGAACTAGACTGAAGCTCACACTGAAGATGGAAAGAATACATCATAAGTAATCAGAAACCAGTTGGCCTACATTGTCCTACGGGAAATCCACCGAATACCACTAATTGGGGATTTCATGTCCCACATAAATGTATACTTTTATAAGATTTTGATGCATAAAATGAAAACTAGTCGAGCCTCATTTGAATCTGATAAAAAAAATATGTATAATTCTAAAGCGAAACACACCTCAGCTGAATTCAACATGCGCATACATGACTTGTATAGGAAAATTGTTATAGAAATATCGCAAACGTGTGGTCATTTCAGCCTCCAATGATCCACGGGTGTCAATCGGTGGAGGACGTGGAACATGTCGTCTCCTCCACTTTTATAATTTGGGCGGGGGACGTATATTTTTTGCGTGGCCCCGAATAAATATTGTTGGACTATATTTGATCAAAGTTTAATCATTTACCGTAACTGCTTAGCCTAATGAAAACAATTCCATCTAAACTTGAAAATGATATTGAAATGTTGATCAAAACAGCTATGCAGAGACCCTCATTTTGCATTGCTTCGTGTACGTTTACGGCCCAGTTTGGTAAATACGCGTTGTCGGGCCGGTGTGGCAGGATTATACCAGCCGGACAGGACATTCTGTTCTCCTTTAGGATACCCTCTTCCCCTTTTAGGTCAAATACTGACCATGCCTGAGTTTTACACGTGGCAATAATTCGTTTTTAAACGAATAATTGCCACTGGTCTGTTGATGTGTGGTCATTATTAATGTGTTGGTTGCTACAAATCAAGAAGTATGTGCATGTGAGAAATAAAATACTTACTCCAACCAGTACGTGGTCTGGTTACCAGATCAAAAGATTCTGATTCTGTCTTTAGCCCTGGAACCGTTTGTTTGGCTTTTAATTTTCAAACCAAACGAAACTGGTTTTATCTTTGGTTATAAAAATGCTTTAGTCTGGTCAAAATTGACATTCTATGAGCGAATTTCGTCGAAAACAAATCAGAGAAATAGTTCCGTACGATGATTAAACGTGTACGCGTGCAGAAACTAAAGTTCGAATGTCTGATAGATCCGGGCATTTAAATTGTATGCGACCCCGCGCGCCAGCCAATCAGAGCCGCCTTTAAAAGTATAGTGATGCCATTTAAAGCAGATATTCGGCCAAACCTGTTGATTGGTCCATAGCTGCTATGCTTTTTTAAAATTTTTATACAACATCGGGTTACCGAAGACACGATAGACGGCGCCCGCTGAATGTTCAGGATCTGAAGGTCAAGACACAGTGTTGTTTTTCATAATCTGCACGCATAGACTATTCACTCCCCATGCAAGCGTCCATTCGATAGCATTTAATTCCAGTTGGCTTTTTTGCAAAACTAAACTGGGACCGTTTAAACATCGGCTTTTCACACTGCCAACAAGTACTAAGAACATTTCATACATGATGGTGTTTGGATTCTTAATGAAGTCCTATTTGATATAAGTATATCTACCGCAATCTTCTTCATCGCTTCCGTCATCACAGTCCTGGAAACCATCACACTGCCAGAACACGGTGATGCAGACTGATTGGCCGCAGTCAAAAGTTCCAAAAGGGCATGTTGGAGCTCCTGGAAAAATAACGTTGGAAACATTAGTAGAGAGTCCAGACTTGTATTCAAGTCACCAAACATCGAGTCCGAGTCCGAGTCAACTCTCCCGAGTTCGAGTCCGAGTACCTATTCATGCAGGTCGAGTCCGAGTCCGAGTCACGAGTCACATTCAATATATATTGGAAATATATTTTGAGGTACTGTTAAAATATCACGGTGTAAATGTTTCTATTTTTCACAGCTTTTCTCTAATTTAATGAAATGGAAATACATTATTGTTGATTGCCCTAACGCGGCGCGGCCCCTAACGTGGCGCACATCGGTTTTTAGTCTCCGTACGCAAACGTTTTACTTAAAATTTCACAGTGTGTGAAATTTCATCAGGCTCTTAGGTTCATAGTTCAGGTTCATAGCGGAGAAATTTATTTTGGCATGAATTTCCGATTTTATTTTGATTTGCGATATTTAAAAAAAAAATCGTATGCCGCTTTTAATTATACTTATTTGTTTATATTGCGGATTCAGTGGAGATATTTTTTGTAGCGTTTACGGGGTCTGTGATTCACCAACGTTAGTCGTTATCATTTGGTAACAACTTTACCGATTGCTGTGCACCGTCCTCGGCACCCGGCTGACTGCATCAGTACCGATCAGCACCAGTCCAGCCGACAGACAGATAAACATTTTGCATGAGGAAATCGCTGATTTTATTAAAAGTTGGTCAGACTAGCTTATTGATTTTTATAGCACTTTCAAGCCTATGGTCTTGTTTAGAAATGGTAAAAAAAAATCAAGAAAATCCAATGATGCAAACCTGAGATATCTTTGATTTGGTAAAGCAATTTTTTTTCGACCTTCACAATGTAATTTCCACACTTAGTATTTGCAAAGATAAATCAATTCTTGGATTATTGGTATTTGTTACGCAGTGCTTGAAATATTGCATGGCCTTTGTGTTGCATTTGGATAAGGGTGTTCACAGATAACTTTTTGGTTGCATAACGTTATATAATCAAATGTTATACCATTTGGAATGCCTTATATCAGGTGTTTAGTCTTTAACAAAGATTTTGAAAGGACAATGAACATGCAATCTTCTTTGACAGCTGAAATGAACTGGCCTAGGCTTAACTACAGAATTCTATTTGTGCAGGAGGATAATAATATAGCCTTACAAAATCAACGATATCGCTGGTTTGCATTGATCGATTTTCTTGATATTTTCACAAATTATAAACAAGACCATAGGCTTTCAAACATTATATTTGATTAGCTAGTATGACCACCTTTTGAGCAAATCAGTGACTTCTTCATGCACAATGTTTATTGGGAAACGCTGTGGCCTACATGTATGCAGTTCAGTCGGCGCCCACTGTCCATCCTAGTTGATTGCGTTGGTTGAATCGGTAAGGATTTTGTATTAAACCATTGCTATGACGTCACACTATTGTTAAAAGTGTGGATTCGGATCTATGAATCTCTTACACTGGTCACAAAGTGTGGATTTGGAACGACGAAACTTTAGTAAAGTGTGGATTCGGAATTACGAATACACACTTTGAACACGTCAGACAATTGTTCTCCATAATGAGCCTGAATAGGACCGTCTGCGCGAAAATTTGCTTTCCGAAAATTACCAATGCATCTTCACTGTCAGATTCTCTGCCGTCACTGCAAAATCTACTTTTAGTCAGAAAGAAATCGTCGTCCGACCTATCCATTTTGACGTAAGGAGCCTATACACACAAAATGAATTGGTTGTACGGGTGTGGCGATACACATGCTAAACACGCCAGGAAAAAATGTTGCAACCTGCCGCCACTTCCGGGCTTGTGTACAAAGTCTTTGGAGAGTCATTTCAAGTATTTCCTAACAAAATTTGAAACATTTCTCAGTCCCAGATTCATGTCATATAGTCATTTTTTTTGCAACGAATGACCTTCATTGAGATGATACATGTAGAAAAAAAGTTGCGTCAGGTTGCAACATTCTTTCTAATACTTCTGTTGACGCAATGGTTTAAGTCGAAGAATACACTCGCAAGTGTGGATTCTTAATTTACGAATTCACTTCGCGCCTAGTGAATTCTTTTAAATTACGAATCCACACTTTCTCGTGTATTCTCCTTAACATAATATCGAATTTCGGAAATATTTGTTAAGGAGAATACACGAGAAAGTGTGGATTAGTAGACCCCACTCTTAGCCAGGATACTCTCTATTGCTGTAGGCTGCCCTTATTTTACACATTTTACAGGCAGTGAACAAGACATTTACTTGCGTTGAACTTCATGTACATGTACAGTGCTGACATGAACTTTTACCCATGACTGTAATCAGAATTGGTTGTTTTTTTAATGGTATTAATCAGGAACAGGTAGTTGAGTCAACAAGCAATATTACGAATACAGAATCGATAAAGGTATGAAGTCAGCCCAGCACCCGATTTCATGAAACTCATCGTAGCTTAAAGGGCCTGTCACATTATATGCGCTCTCATAGGAAACCTTACGGCGACCATTTCTTTTCCATAAATTTAATAATCGTAGCGAGGACGCAAGAAAATGACAACTATTTGTCTCAAAGAAGCTCAAGCTACGCTCATACTGTGCTCTTCCGACGCTTACGATGCGCTCAACTCGCTCTCTATGCGCCCCTGTCAAGCCCAATTACTCGATCTAGTCGCTGTCACTGCGCCCACACTACGCTCTGCTCGCTGTTGATACGTCCTAGTAGCTCGCGTCGCGCTCTCTATTCAACCAAAATACGCTCATGTGACGTCACTTGCGCTGTATAAATACCACGACAAAACGGTCAATACACAGTCCAGTTTCAAAAATTATTCTACGAGTTCATCGCAGTCGAGTAACTTTCTCATGGAGACTACGTCGACTGCCTTGCGCCTAAGCTGCCTCAATGCCACTTCAATGTCGCACGATTCACGCTTGCACAGCGCCCGAGTTGCGTCATTACGGCGACCTGGCCAGAACGCAGAGGTGTTGCCATTGTTTTGAGCATGCTCAAAGACCTTGGCGCTCATCGGAGACCATTAAGACCCTCTGGCGCCCATCTGACGACTTATGTAGTTGTCGCTGCGATCTAGTAGTTGTTTTTCAAAGACGCAGTGAGATCGCATATAAGATCGCAGACAGTGTGACCGGGCCTTTACGATGCATCGCAGCGCTGCGACGCGTCGTATCCCTATACGATGCGTCGCAGATGCGATCCATTTAACAAAACACGTCGTAAGTGCGACGCGTCGTAAGTAGTGCTGTGGGGTGGTATAGGTAGTGCCCCGCCCCCTTTTCTGTACACGTTCTATGGGGAACTGTGGGGGAGGTTTGAGGAGGGAATGAGGATCCATTGTAAAGAGTATCCAATGGGTAAGAGGATTACCCGATGTATTGTGTAGGGATTATATATGAATTTGTTTGTCATTTGGATTACTCATTTAGCAAATGAGTGAATGAGTAGCAAATGAGTAAATGAGTAATGAAATGAGTAAATGAGTAACGAAATGAGTAAATGAGTATCGAATTGAGTAAATGAGTAACGAAATGAGTAAATGGGTAACCAAATGAGTAAATGAGTAACCAAATGAGTAAATGAGTAGCCAATGAGTGAATGAGTAACCACATGAGTAGATATATATTAAATGATTTCATCCGTTCCTTACCATTCGGAGATTAACCTTCAAAGCTTCAACATGAATACTATTTCTGCAGTCAAACCCTATGCTTGTCACCAGTGTGACAAACGCTTTGGACGGAGATATAACCTCTTGAGACATACCGAAAATGCACATGCTGAAGATGAATCCGACATAGACGAAGTTGAGGTGGATTATTCTGAGCTTGAATTTAAAAGCAGTAAATTTGAAGATCCGGAAATGGAAAACTATGAAACTAAATCTACGTATGATGAAGACGAAGATCTTGAGGAAAATGATTCCGAATCCGTCACGGAGGTGGAAGATGACGAATCATCTGATGAAGATGAGTCTAGTTCTGATTTGGAAGACAATGCAGCCTATTTAGATTGGTTGGGAGAGGCAAAAGAAGCGATTGATGAGATGTGGAGAGAAAAACATGAAAAGTACATCAACGAGGGCATGAGTGAAGATCAGGCCACGGAAAAGGCCAACAGGAAGACCTTGTGGGCAGTCAAGCGAATCTTTTTCAACAAATACAAAGATTTTTTGTCAAGTTACATACATCTGAAAGATAAGAAATTGTGGACGAGATCGAAGACAGAGTCAATCATTCCGGTATTCTACTGCCCACGGCTGTCAGCAGGGTCATATCTAAACACCAGGCCAAATTTGACGGCCTGTTCCATCAAGATGAAGATAACGTTAACGAGGAAGACAGTGACGATTAAAGACTAGTCAACGTTACATTAAGATCAACGTTACATTAAGATCACTGATGATTTAATTGTAAAGAATACATTTAAAAAAAAAAAAAAAACACACGAGTGTTTCATTGAGAAATGACATCAATAAAGCAATAATGTTATCATGTATATACTTTCTGCAGTTGTATTTTTCTTTGTTGGTGTTGTCTTACAATTAAACAATCGAGAAAGCCCTATACTTGTCAAGCAGTCATATAATTAGTGTTTGGACACGCCCTGTCAATAATCCCCGAAATATTTACGGTTTTTAATGCTTCATGTATGGCTTTATCACGCACCGTGTCCAATTTTGGGACTTTGTAGGGGGTAAAAAAGTTAGTTGCCTTATGACACTCTAAATCTTCAATATAAAATAGAAGTACATACCATTGCTTTAACACCAAAGACCTAGTTATATATATCCTTGATTTTGTAAACAGGTCCGGCACGGTGGTACAACTAGGGTTCGGTGCATTCCTGTACAGACAACGGTAAAGGGGTATTAAGGCTTGAAATCATGTTTAGTCAGTCAACTTCATTGACTTCTTTCACGTACAGATAATGAAGCTCTCGCACATGCCGTGCGCTGCTAATTAAGTCCCATTGTCCGATAAAGGGAGTCCGTGTTCACTACTGTTGCGCAACTCCTGGCAAGCGATATTTAGAACGCTCAATAATCCATCCCCCACTGTACATGCAGGTACGGGTTAAGTCGGTGATGAAGATAATCGATATAATGAACACGTCTTGAAAGAATTCCGTCTTTATGGATTAGGGAAACAGCGCTATCTGATCGGACGGTGTGAATATACAATGTGTAGGATGCAGTCAGTCCCTCAATACTAAATTACAAAATTACAATCTATACCTGAATTCATGTCCGGGGTAACAATAAACGTCTGAAGATGTATTTGATTATTTTTCTTCTTGTGAATTTTCGGGACGTCTGTAATCTTTAGTTGAATATACATTCCATATTGCTAATTTTACCGGTAAATGCCATCTATTAAAAAGACTAATGTTTATTATGTTGACACGACAATGTAAACGTTTATGCGCAACGTCTCAGTTTAGGCCTACACATACGGTGGTCTATACGGTGTATAACAATCGTATAATTTTGTGAACCGGTCCCAATGTGTTGCGAACGCGAAATAACTTGTTACACTGTTATAATAGGAGGACATTGTAATCGTGAACCGAAAAACATTGACTCCATGGATACATATCGAATGCATACTGTGAGCGAGCTCTTCAAGTCAGTGACCCAATGTATGCATTGTAAGCGCCCTCTATAAACTACGGATCGCGGTTCCAACTACATGCGTATTCACAAAGCTCTCCTCGAAAACAATTGTCCACAGTGACCGCATGAAATCAAACCAGGTACCGTTACAAAAAAATGTCATCCTTAAACCCATCAATAAATTAAATTTAAACGTATAGTATACACTTTATACAGTGACATTTATAGCACAGGTCGGTGACTGTTTTATGTATTTAGTCAGCATACGGTAAATAGTCGTCTAATATTCAACAAAGAGTCGTCAGATCTCCTCTCAAAAGTTTGAAAACGTAAAATAAAATGGCGGACGTTTGATGCAATTTTAAAGGAAAACAAGTTCTCAGTGGACTGTAAAGCTACTTTGAAATTTCACCTACAATATTCCAGGCTAATTCCTGATTATTCAATACATTTTCTATTTACACTTTTACACACATTGTCTCGGTATGTATTTCTATGGCAAAAAGCTGGCTAAGAAAAGGACCCTAATTATTAACGTATTTTAAGCCGCTGTCAAGGAACTTACAACGGCTTAAAGAGAACATGCAATAGGATTTGTATGACATTTAAAACAGCTTTCTAGCCAGGCAACTATGAATTTCCACCTCCTTCGTAGCAGTAACAGGGAGAAATTTCAACATTTTAGTTTTTATGCTGATGAAAATGTCCATATTCATGAAGCAAAGCGTGATGTCAATCAAGGCAGAACAGCAGTGTCTCCATAGCTTTGTGTATAAATATTATAGCCTATATCAAACTTTTCTTCATTTTCTTGGGGTAAGTTCCACCTTTTACTTGTTTATCATTTTAAACAGGTTGTTTGGACAAAAGTAGTGGCCAATATTTCTTCAAGTCTTTTATTTTGTGGGTAATTTTGAAGGACTAATTTTTGTACTGTTCATATGCACTTTTGACAAGGAGTACCTTGTGTGACAAAAGCAAAATAGCGCCCTCTTACATGTATTTATGAAAGGTTTTGCTTATAATTGAAAAACTACCACTTTCTTGTCACTTCCAGTAAAGTATTAAGATCTTGTATGTATTGTTGCAACACAGAGTAATGTGCATGTAAACAAGATGAGCTGAATTTCCATTGCACATTTCCTTTTATAAACACATCGCAAGTTTCGTGCAATGGATCATACGACGCGTCGCGAGTTGTCGACCCGAGATTTGCTTGCGCCACGACGGAACCGTCGGCATCCAGCGGCGTAGCCCGGGTTCTCATCATAGGGGCGTGTGGGTGGGTGGGTGTGTGTGTGAAAGGGGGTGGTGGTGGGGGGGGGGGGGGGGGGGGGCTGGACACCATTTTTCCATGGGGGCGCTGTTTAAAACGTATATTTTGGCTATATTACTGCGTATTGTTGCGCAGAACGTGGAACGCCGGCATAGTGTGCTGCTGATTGGCTACACAACGAAAGATGATCTTGATGCGCGCATGACGTCGTCGTAGAAGTTGAAATGCTTTTACTCTTGCGACTGTAGATTTTCTTTGAGCGCCGACTAATTCCGATCGTCTTAATATCGTCGCAGTTACACTCAGGTCGCAAAAAAAATCAATCGGCGACTGATATGTTCCCGACGGTCGTAGCTAAGGCGCAGCTTGATCCTGAAAAGTCAGTCTCCGACTGATCTGTGTCGTTGCAAGGTCGACCTGAGGGCAGCTTAATTACACGTCGCAGCTTAATAACACGTCGCAGCGCTTCGTGAAATTGGGTGCATACCCTTACCGAACTATAATAGCAGTCCAATAGCAGTCCAATAGCATGTGCATGCTATTATAGCATTCACATAGCATTCACAGATGATGATGACTTGATGACTGCTAACTTTAACAGTCCATATAGCATTCTCGATAGCAGTATGAAAATAGCATTCCAAATAGCATGCGAGCTTCAAAGCATTCCACATAGCATGCAAGTGAAAGAGGGAGGACTGCAAATTGAGTATAGCATTCCAATTTAGCAGTCAGTTGTAAAATAATTTTAAAGTATAGCATTTCGTGGCTCAACATAGCCTGCAAATAGCATTCCAATATATAAGCCTATCGTATCATGGACTACAAGTCACATGACACAGTGATGACCTTCCATTCCACAGATTAACGGTCAGTGTGAGAAATTTGAAAAACTGCAGTCAGTTGAATATTGTCAGCGCAGAGTGCAGCAGGCTGCACATAGTCTTGCAAGAAATTGTAGAAATCATGGACATTAGCTTATGGTATGAATGCTTGTGGACATAATTTCATGTTCACATGCATGCACTCAACCTGTACATGACAAAATACATGTACACTGGATGATTGGCTGAATGGACTAAAGTCTTTGGAATTGAAAACTTCAAAGCAACAGTTTGGAGGCCTCCATACACGTGCAACACACTCACAAACAGCTTGTATTTGGTAAGTGTACAGTTTGGGCTACTAGGCTGTGGTGGTATTCAATTTTTGGCTTGATGAAGACAATTTTATTTTGGTTTTGAGCATGCTGGTGTTCATGGTGTTGAGATGTGAAGTCTTAATATTAAACATATTCCTTAATATTCCTCCATGTTTGAATTTTTGAATCAGCTAAATTTTGAATGAAGCACAAATACATGTAATTGTTTTTAAATTGTGATGCCAAATATAAAAGTGACTGGTGGTTGCTTCAAAGATAATTCAAATTAAGCAGAAATAGTTGCATCAAATTTCTGGCCATTGCTTTTATAAGCATGACAATGTTAGACAAAGTGTTTCGATGTTTGTACGTACACCAAAGAATGAGGCTGATAAAGTCTTAAAATTTTTTTTGTAATTTTATGTATTTTGATCGCAGTCCACATCATAGGTTTTTTAAATTTCAAAATGTGTTGTTAAGAATGGTTCAGTGCATAAAATTATTAGATAAAGCTTTAACACAAGAGTAATTTGGGGTGAATTGTGACATTGAAAATGTATTTTGTAATTGTAGGATGCCCGGCCCTGTCCATGTCACGATAGCATTCACATATCATTCACCATAGCATTCACATAGCATTCACATAGCATTCACGTAGCATGCAATAATAGCATTTACATAGCATTCACATAGCATTCCAGCTGCATGCTATGAAAGCATTCCTAATAGCATGCGCATGCTATAGCTCATTTAAATAATTTGGCTTCCTGACATGCTATCGGACTGCTATCGGACTGCCATACCTCAATGAATGCTATGAGAATGCTATTGGAGATAGCGTTCATTCATTGACATATATCAATTTCGTGAAAACCTTATTCATCTATAGAAATGGCCCTGTGGAGACCTTTACAATGTTTTGTTCCGTATTGTAAGTGAGTCTCCACAAGGCTACGAATTTGTGGTCAGGGTTGGAGGGAGAAACACAAAGGAGGGATTTATCTGAGGGTGGCAGACCAGTGCCGGTTAGATGAAAGGGGATGAGGGAACAAAGGATTGTAGGGGCAAGGAACAAATGGGGTTAGAAGGAAGGAATGAGGCAGGGGGTAATAAAGGAGAGTAGTGTGTGAATGCGATATTGGTGGGAAAGGGGGTGATAAAGGGGACAGAGTGGAGAACAGGTGCAAATGGAAAGGGTAAAAGAGAGAGGGGAGGGCAATTAATATGGTGTTAGTGTGAAAAAGGGAGGGGGTATAGTGGGGGACAGGTATCACTTTTATTGGAGTTTGATTATAATGCACGGTTGAACATAAAGATACGTAATGTACGTTTGAAATGAAAATGCCAAGATCACAATCTAAATTCGTTACTTGCTATTGCTGTATCAAACAGGATACAGGAAGAAGGTTTTCCTCCCACCGGCTAGTATTGGAAATGAGTTTGAAATTAAAGTAACTCCTGAGGACGAGGCTGCGTGTGACTGCATTGAGACTAAATGACCTGTGATTGACTTGTGGTGAACCTGTGGTTTACTTATGAGGGCCTGGCTACCACTACTTTTAATTTGATTTGAAAAATATTTTTCAATCCATCTTCCACGACCACGACAAGATGATATTTTAAGTGTCTTGTCTTCAACCTCGTGGCCAGTGTGTCGAAGCAGTGCAAACAACACAAAGTTTTCTCGTTGATGGACTATAGGGACGACTCTAATTTGTAAATAAACATCGTGTCTGCCAAAGAACAGTTTTCTAAAACCTGTTGCATTAAAAAATAGTACATCAGTTAGGACAAACCAACCTGTTGTAGTTGCCTCACCATCTGCTGCTGCTGTAGTTGCCTCATCATCTGCTGCTGCTGTGGTGGCGTCACCACCTGTTGCTGATGTCGTTGCATCACCACCTGCTGCTGCCGTAGTTGCCTCATCACCTGTTGCTGCCGTAGTTGCCTCACCACTTGCTGCTGCTGTGGTGGCGTCACCACCTGCTGCTGTTGGTGGTACTGCTGTCGAATCCAGTGTTTGGGTAGGTTTTAGACTTTCTGTAAGAAATGGTGTGAAATATCCATTAAACATTAACTACCAGTACTAAACAACTGCCTGCTTAAACAACCAAAATTCACTCAAACGGGTCACAAATTAAAGGTCGAGTCCGAGTGATTGACTTGTGTAGTATGTGGTGTACTTGTGGTGTACTTGTGGTTTGTAAGGACCTGGCTCCAACTACTATTAGTTTTGTTTTGCAATATATGTTTTAATCCTTATATGTTTTAATCTTTCCCGGCCAGTCAGTAAAAAAGTCCACAAAGAGATGACATTTTAAGAGTCTCGACCTCAACCTCGTCGTCAGGGCATAGAAGCAGTACAATCAACACAGGTCTCTCTCGTTGATGGTATATGGGTTTCGAATTTGCACGTACTATAATAGGTAAATAAATAAATATCGCGTTTACCAAAGAATTTTTTAAAAACCTCTTGCATTAAAAAGCTTGTAGATAAGTAAGGACAAACCAACCTGTTGAAGATGCACCTGCTGCTACCGAAGTTCCCTCACCACCTGCTGCTGTAGTAGTTGCATCACCACCTGCTGCTGCTTTGGTAGTGTCAAACCCACCTGTAGTAGTTGCATCACCACCTGCTGCTAATGTTGTTGCATCACCACCTGCTGCTGCTGTGGTGGCTTCACCACCTACTGCTGCTGTTGTTGCATCACCCAATGTTGTAGTTGCCTTACCACCCACTGCTGCTGTGGTGATGTCACCACCTGCTGCTGTTGTCGTTGCATCACCAACTGCTGCTGCTGTAGTTGCATCACTTCCTGCTGCTGCTGTTGTTGCATCACCACCTGCTGCTGCTGTTGTTGCACCATAACTTGTTGCTGCGGTAGTTGCATTACCACTTGCTGCTGCTGTGGTGGCGTCACCACTTGCTGCTGCTGTTGTTGCATAACCACCTGCTGTTGCTGTAGTTGCCTCACCACCTACTGCTGCTGTCGTTGCATCACCAACTGCTGCTGCTGTAGTTGCATCACTTCCTGCTGCTGCTGTTGTTGCATCACCACCTGCTGCTGCTGTTGTTGCACCATAACTTGTTGCTGCGGTAGTTGCATCACCACCTGCTGCTGCTGTGGTGGTGTCACCACTTGCTGCTGCAGTTGTTGCATCACCACCTGCTGTTGCTGTAGTTGCCTCACCACCTGTTGTTGTCGTAGTTGCATCATCACCACCTGCTGCTGCTGTGGTGGCGTCACCACCTCCTGCTGCTGTCGTTGCATCACCAACTGCTGCTGCTGTAGTTGCATCACTTCCTGCTGCTGCTGTTGTTGCATCACCACCTGCTGCTGCTGTGGTTGTGTCACCACTTGCTGCTGCTGTTGTTGCTGTAGTTGCCTCACCACCTGTTGTTGTCGTAGTTGCATCACCACCCGCTGCTGCTGTGGTGGAATCGCCACCTGCTACTGCTGTCGAGGCATCATGACCACCTGCTGCTGTAGTTGCCTCACCACCCGTTGCTGATGTGGTGGTGTCACCACCTGCTGCATCTGTGGTTGCATCACCAACTGCTGCTGCTGTAGTTGCATCACTTCCTGCTGCTGCTGTAGTTGCATCACTTCCTGCTGCTGCTGTTGTTGCATCACCACCTGCTGCTGCTGTTGTTGCACCATAACTTGTTGCTGCGGAAGTTTCATCACCACTTGCTGCTGCTGTGGTAGCGTCACCACTTGCTGCTGCTGTTGTTGCCTCACCACCTGTTGTTGTCGTAGTTGCATCACCACTTGCTGCTGCTGTCGTGGCGTCACCGCTTGCTGCTGCTGTTGTTGCATCACCACCTGCTGTTGCTGTAGTTGCCTCACCACCTGTTGTTGTCGTAGTTTCATCACTACCTGCTGCTACTGTGGTGGCATCACCACCTACTGCTGCTGTCGTTGCATCCTCAACTGCTGCTGCTGTAGTTGCATCACTTCCTGCTGCTGCTGTTGTTGCATCACCACCTGCTGCTGCTGTTGTTGCACCATAACGTGTTTCTGCTGTTGTTTCTTCACCACCTGCTGTTGCTGTAGTTGCCTCACCACCTGTTGTTGTCGTAGTTGCATCACCACTCCCTGCTGCTGTGGTGGAGTCGCCACCTGCTACTGCTGTCGAAGCATCATGACCTCCTGCTGTTCTAGTTGCCTCACCACCCGTTGGTGATGTGGTGGTGTCACCACCCGCTGCTGCTGTCGTTGCATCACCAACTGCAGCTGCTGCTGTAGTTGCATCACTTCCTGCTGCTGCTGTTGTTGCATCGCGGCCTGCTGCTGCTGTTGTTGCCTTATAACTTGTTGCTGCGGTAGTTGCATCACCACTTGCTGCTGCTGTGGTGGTGTCACCACTTGCTGCTTCTGTTGTTGCATCACCACCTTCTGTTGCTGTAGTTGCCTCACCACCTGTTGTTGTCGTAGTTGCACCACCACCAGCTGCTGCTGTGGTGGAGTCACCACCTGCTACTGCTGTCGAAGCATCACCAACTGCTGCTCCTGTAGTTGCATCACTTCCTGCTGCTGCTGGTGTTGTATCACCACCTGCTGCTGCTGTTGTTGCATAACCTACAACTGCTGTCGAAGCATCACCACCTGCTGCTGCTGTTGTTGCACCATAACTTGTTGCTGCGGTAGTTGCATCACCACTTGCTGCTGCTGTGGTGGCGTCACCACTTGCTGGTGCTGTTGTTGCATCACCTACAGCTGCTGTCGTCGCATCACCAACTGCTGCTGCTGTGGTGGTGTCACCACCTGCTACTGTTGGTGGTACTGTTGTTGAATCCGTAGCATGGCTAGGTTGTAGACTTTCTGTAAGAAAAGTTGAGAGATATCCATTGAAAATTATCTACTAAACAAATACCTGACTAAACAACTGAAATTCACTCAAACAAGTCAGAAAGGTTGATCGAGTCAGAGTTATTCACTTGTGTAGTATGTGGATGTGCTTGTGGTGTACTTGTGGTTTACGTGTGAGGACCTGGCTACAAATACTATTAGTTATGATTTGAAATATATTGTTTAATCCATTTTTTCCTGGCCAATCAGTAGAAGTCAACGACGAGATGACATTTTAAGAGTCTAGATTTCAAACTCGTTGCCAGGGCATCGAAGCAGCCCAAACAACACAATTCTCTCTCGTTGATGGATCATAGGGTTCGAAATTGCATGTACACTAATCGGTAAATAAATATCGCATTTCACAAAGAACACATTTTGAAACCTTTTGCATTAAAAATAGTATATACGTTAGGACAAACCAACCTGTTGTTGCATCACCACCTGCTGCTGCTGTCGTTGCATCACCAACTGCTGCTGCTGTAGTTGCATCACCACCTGCTGCTGCTGTGGTGGACTCACCACCTGCTTCTGCTGTCGAGGCATCACCACCTGCTGCTGCTGTCGAAGCATCACCACCTGCTGATGATGTCGAAGCATCACCACCTGCAGATGCTTTGGTGGTGTCATCACCTGCTGCTGCTGTCGTTAAATCACCAACTACTGCTGCTGTAGTTGCATCACCACCTGATGCTGCTGTTGTGGCATCACCACCTTCCGCTGCTGTCGAAGCATCACCAACTACTGCTGCTGTGGTGGCATCACCTCCTGATGCTGCTGTTGTTGCATCACCACCTTCTGCTGTCGAAGCATCACCACCTGCTGCTGCTGTAGTTGCCTCACCACCTGCTGCTGCTGTGGTGCCATCACCAACTGATGCTGCTGTAGTTGCATCACCATTTGCTGCTGCTGTTGAGACGTCACCAACTGCTGCAGGTGTCGTTGCATCACTACCTGCTGCTGTTGTTATTGTTGCATCACTACCTGCTCCACCTGTGGTTGCATCACCACCTGCTGCTGCTGTTGTTGCTTCACCATCTATTGCTGCCGTAGTTGCATCACCACCTGCTGCTGGTGTAGTGGCATCACCCCTGCTGCTGCTGTAGTTGCCTCAGCACCTGTTGCTGCTGTGGTGACGTCACCAGCTTCTGCTGCTGTTGATGCATCACCAACTACTGCTGCTGTACTCATATCACCTCCTGATGCTGCTGTTGTTGCATCACCACCTGCTGCTGCTGTGGTGGTGTCACTACTTGCTGCTGCTGTTGTTGCATCACCAATTGCTACTGCTGCTGTGGTTGCATCTTCACCTGTTGCTGTTGTAGCTGCATCACCAACCGCTGCTGCTGTGGTGGCATCACCACCTGCTACAGTTGGTGGTATTGTTGTCCAATCTGGTGCTTGGCTAGGTTGTACACTTTCTGTAAGAAATGGTGAGATATCCATTAAAAATGAACTACTAAACAATTGCCTGACTAAACAACTAAAATTCACACAAACGAATTACAAAGGTCGATAGAGTTTGAGTGATTGACTTGTGTAGTATGTGGTGTGTTTGCGGTGTACTTGTTGTTCAATCCATCTTTCCTGGCTAATCAGTAGAAGTTGACGACGAAATGTCATTTGAAGAGTCTAGATTTCAACCTCATCGCAAGGGCTTCGAAGCAACACAATTCTTTCCATAGGGTTCGAGGTTGCACATACACTAAGTCGTATCACTAAGTCGTATCACTAAGTCGACCTCAGTCGTATCAGGAGATTTCTCGATTTCAATGCCTGCCACAATGCAGTCCATGCTCTGATTCTGTCCAAGCTTGACTACGGGTGCTGTTTGTTAAATGGTGTATCCACGAAAGACATATCTCGCCTCCAAAGAATCCAGAACAGATGTGCTAGGCTAATCTTTCAGATGCCAAAACACTCCCACACCTCACCACTTCTCAGACAATTACACTCGCGCAACTCATTGAATTTCGCACACTCGTCCATGTCTACAATTCTCTAAATCACCGTGCTCCTGACTACCTATGTTCTCTCCTTACAATCCATGAATGCTCATACTCCCTTCGTAGTTCTGATGCCATATCCCTTGTGGTTGACAAGTCTCACAAAAAGTCCGGTGACAGGGCATTTTCCATTGCTGCCTCCCGTTTATGGAATGCTCTGCCTGTCTCCATCAGAAACACTGATGCTGCACTATCCTTCAAGAAAGGACTCAAGACCCACCTCTTTGCCAAACAGTAGCTGGTTTTCCTCATACTTTCATTTTGTTCCCTTCTGGCGCATTGCATCCTTCGGTAATTTGGCGCTATATAAATCCAGTTATTTTCATTTATTATTATTAGTTAACCGATACGATAGGTGGAAATAGAAGAATGATTTGAGGTGGCAAATAAACACAAATGTAAAATTACCCGTGTATATAGTTTGTGATTGTACAGTACCAACGACGAGAATACACATCATGGCAGCGGAGAGAAATAGTAGTCTACGTAACACTTCGCGACCCATTTGCTTGCTTGACATTTTCCCCCAATAAACCGATTGTTGGAACCGAGAGGTGGTGATTCAGAATTTTGTTTAATGTGGTAGCTTGATGTGGCTTAGGCCTATACGTGACTGGCCGTGTACTGCAAATCAACCGCGCTATTTACTTGTTTTACGGTTTCCTTAGCAACGAACGATTTTCTCAGCCATCGAGACATCCAAAGTCCAACCGTAGGGTGTTTTTCTCAGCTGTATGGCTATCCATGTGGCAGTGACGTCAACGACAACTCAATGGCAGCGTAAAGCGTAAAGAAAAATTGTTGCAAGGAAATGTCAACAATGTTTTCCTGTGAAAAGGCCCCTTCAGATAATAACCCACAAAACGTTCGCATGTGTTACCTGTATCTATAGGCTCTGTGTATTTAAGAGTATGGTATAGTATTGTAAACAGTCTCAGTGCCGATCGATCAAAATCCATCCTCGCCGGGCTACGTCTTCAATGTTGCTTCTATGTAAAATGGCAATGGAGGATGAGTGGTTCCTTTTTCCTTAGTTAAATATTTTAATACTGAATATTCAGGTTGGCGCAGTGGTTATTTCCTCGCCTTCCACCGCTGTGGCCTGGGTTGGATTCATGTCCAGGTCCACATGAGGATTGGGTTATCAATCCCTAGTTGATTCTGTGGGTTTTCCCCAAAATATTCTTCTGAGGTTTTTCTCCTACCTCTAGAACCGTGACTTTTTTTCTTAATGTCGTTTTCTTATAGGATTATTCTGGCTTTCTAGCTAGTGCCTAGGACACTTTTGAAAAAATCCTTGGTTTCAATGCCAAAAAGATATAAATAAAATATAATAATAATAATAATAATAATACAAAATAATACGCAAGCAAAGCAGTTCAACCTCTTTTTTAATACTCTGCTTTGATGCTTGGTAGAGAGAAATACATGTTTATTTTGTTACATAGCTCTGGCTGATGTCTGATATCAGTAGCGTGCGTATCCAGCTTTTTATGCAGGAGGTGGGGGGGGGGGAGCACATGAAAATTAGAAAGCATAATGGAAATTAGAATGAGTGCACAATGGGGGCATCGGAAACAATAAATTACAAGTAAAATACAACAAATATGAGCACTTTCCAATAACAGATCCATTGTTTCCCTTTTTTAGGGGGGGTCCTTTTGTTGTTATTTCCTTTTTGTCTTCACTTGCTGGTTTTTCTATATTTGTGCGCCTACAGTGTTTGTGTCATGAATAATTCAATACCCGTATATCTAATTCAAGTCTAGGTCTTCGGTTTTGGCTACTTGATGTTGTCAGTCTAGGTCAATTGCAAAACAAATACCAACAATGCATGTTATTGTTTGATTGATTTCTGGTCATCAATGACTTTTTGTGTTTGTCTGTTTGTTATCACTAAGCAGGTAAATCTTCAATCATACCTGGGATTGTTGTCTCCTGGAAAATGCTGCTTGTCCATTGCTGCCAACCTGTACAAAATAGGCACAAAATGTGTGTCACAATGGTTCGTGAGACGGTGAGAGTGATTCATTATTCATTGAACAGTAACAGGCTCGTAAGCGGGAGGGGAGGGGTGACAGGGGTTCGAACGAACTCCTCCCCTCCTCCTCCCGCTCAGTGATAAGTTCCGTTCGTTGCGTTTTGTTTTTGATTTGTTTTTGTTATACTTATTTTGATGATGTTATCATAACGGTCTCGCCAATGGCCTCGTGACGTATAATGGCAATGATGTCATGTGACATTTAGACATAAAGAAATCTAGTGGAGGACTAATGTGAAATTCACCGGTAAAGTATTGTAGGGCAAGAATTCCGTAAGATACAAAATCTATATAAAAGTGTTTGTTTATATGAGAGTAAATGTCAGTGCCTTCTGTACTAAACTTGAAATTATTACATGCATGTTAAGTAATTTGTACGACCGAAATGTCCTGCATTTTACTCATCACACAACTGTAAACCGGACCAACATCGCCTTATTATGTGTGTTGGCTGGGTGTCCAGGGGTTTGAGCACCCCGGTAACCACATCCTTGCGTTTACCGATAGGAAACCGATAAGATACCACTCCTTTTGCAATAAGTCATTTGCGAGTGACCTATATCCTTTGGGATATAAATTTGAAAAACGTCTCGTACACTGACTTGCTCAGAATGCTTGGCACATTTTAACTTTGGATTCTCCAGACCAAAGACAAGTTGCTAATCACATGATTCGGGACAAAACCTTGCATAGTTACGTATGTAAGAGACGCTCAGCACCAATACATTGTTCACAATGGGTGAGAATGGCACAAAGACACCAGACCATTCCAGAGCTGGGGGGGGGGGGTGCGCTACCATAAGGCTGGCCCGGCCAGATCACGTGATATAGTTATAGTGTCTTTGGTCGGGAGAATGCAAAGCTAATACGAGCAAAGCATTGGATTAAGTCAGCGTAACAGATTTTTATTCAAATTTAACTCGCAAATGGCTTATTACTCCTGTTTTATCTCACTCGCTAAAAACTGCTGCTGAGCCGTACATGATGAACCATACACGCGGTACGCTACAAACATGCATGTAACTAGCACGACCCTGTTAGGCACTTTATTGTTTTTTACAAGTTCTGCATGTTAAAGGTTCCACTATAAGGTTTGATCCCCCCTCCCTCGTCTCAGGAACGGGTCCGAGTAACATCACTCCTTTCCATCCTGCAAGGACAACTGAATAAATAGAAAGAAATGAGTATTTGGGCAGAGCTGTGTTTGTCAGCGTTTGGTCAATATCACTGCAACGCTGGGCGTAGTTGGCATGGTGGAAGCGGAGGTCGTTTTCACATTAAAGGGACATTTTCATTTTTAATAAACAGTTGGTTACGAGCAAATGTAGTGACCGTGTATTTTCAATTCATCCTGATTCCTCCCTTTAGATCAATACTGCGACGGAGCACGAAGTGTATGTCATAAATTCAATGCAACCACTGTCTGTATAATGACTGTATTACATCGAGTCACCCACACTTTGCATATTGGCAGATCCTGATCGCTGATTGGTCAGTTGGACTCAGGCACTATTGTATAGCAGACTGAATTTGTATTGGGGCTATAGGCTACCGGGTGAACTCAGGGGTATAAAAGCAGCTGCACGACAGGATTTTAGGCAGATGATTCAGAGATGATTCAAGCGAAAACTTAATGATTGGAACAAGTAATTGGGGTTCAAGTAATACTAGACAAATAAGGATGATAATGAGGATTGATTAAAGGCTTGACCATTGTTTGTGATTCCTGACTCCGATTCCACTCATTCCACTGGCTCAAATTATTGCTAATTAGGGTAGATAAAAGGGCCTGAGAGGATTACAAATCTCAGGGATTCCCCCTCCCTACTCCCCTTCCGCAATCCCATTCCACAAACCCCTTCCACCTTCCATCGGCGGTATTCCACCGAGGATTCCACTGACGGTATTCCACGGAGGATAACTTGTGCCGTGGCCCATCGCTGCGGGGACTGGACACCATCGAGGCGGCACGCTACCTATCAAACCAGCCTGACGAAGGAGAGCTGGCACGACAACGTCACATTGGTGGCAGCGGTGGGATCCACCAAGAAGGACTACAGTGGAAGCACGGGGAGTGATCTACTAGGGAATAACAAGGAGAGCGGGATCACTCAGGATGGAGCGAAGAGACGAGCCAGGACTCGTCACACCAACGAGTCTTCATGTGCATGAAGTCGACTCGGGAGTGGAATTTCGATACCGGGGAAGCGATACTTCACTTCAAGTGGCATCTGGGTACAACATGCCAGTTAATAAGAGCGTCGGAATCAGCTGATCATAGCACCGCCTCAGCAGCAGGCCTATCCAGTTACAACCATGGCGCACGTTGAAATAGCGTCAAGTGGGTTCACTGGAATGATAGGAACTGTTCCGGAGCGGTGGAGGGATCAAGCTGCAAGCAGTGTGGAGAAAAGGCAGGAAGCAGCCCAGCATGGTTGGATGGGCAACGCCGGAGAGTCAAGTGCAGCTGCATGGATGCAGAGTCCACTGCAGGCGTCTACTCAAATCAATCCATTTGGGCAGAGGACGAGAGCCGCAATAGGCCACAGGCAACCAGCAACGATCGGAGGAATCAGGGACTGGAACCCGGAGGGAGCAAGACACAAGGAACTCCCAACGAGTGGATTGGAAGTTGGAGCTGTGTCTGCACCAGGAACTACTGCCGTTGGGGCATATGTGCCACTGGTTTTCAGCACAATGACGGCAGGGATGAGGACTTCGCCGGGGTTTGCAGCAACGGTAATGCAACCTGCGAGCGGAACACAAGTCTTCACCGCCACTTCTGGCGACCTGTCCTGGGCCAGAGCTGGAGGGCAAGGACAGGTGGGAAGCACGTACAAGCCGATTTCAAGTGAGCGGGCAGGCACGTGGCACCAGGTTTCGGCTGCAAAGGGTGCGTCGAGCCAGCAACAGCCTCCAGAAAGGTCTTCTCCAACGAAGGTGGAGCAAGGGACGACGATCCAGAGTAGGAAACCTGGGCCCACGGTGGAACAAGGAGGGAAAGCAAGCGCGAAAGAGGAAAACACCCATCACCGAGCACAACGGAAGCCGAGTTTTGTCCCGGATCGATTTTCGGGGGACATCCCTTGGCGGGATTATAAGGCACACTTCGAGTCTTGCGCCACGATCAATGCGTGGACAGCTGAGGAGAAGGCGTACTTCTTAGCAGCTAGTTTGAAGGGACAAGCCCAACAGGTGCTGGGAGATGGAAATCAGGGCGAGCAGCTGAGTTACAAAGAACTGACTACAAGGTTAGATCGGCGATTTGGACCTGGAGAACAGGCCGAGAGATTCTTGTCGGAATTAAGGAGCAGAACTAGGGGAGTGAATGAAAGCCTTCAAGGACTCGGCCAGGGTATCCGCCGTCTGACGGAACTGGCTTACCCAGAGCTTCCCAGAGATTCCCGAGAAAGACTGGCCAAGGGGCATTTCATGGATGCCATCCAAGATGCTGAAGTGCGGGTGGGAATTTTCAGGGCTCACCCGAAGAGTTTAGATGACGCAATACGGGCTGCGCTTGAAACAGAGTCCTTCCTTAATTCCGAGAGACAGCGACAGCGGAACCATGGTGGCAGGCAGGAGCGCAACATGAGGGCTACTCGCCAGGTGGAGACTGTGTCTAGGGAGGAATTCAACCGGCAGACACAGGCCATGTCAGAGCAGCTGAATATATTGCAGACGATGGTGACTGGTCTGGCCAAGGCAATGCAGGTTCAGACCTCATCCCCACAGAAAGACGAGAGTGGAACAAGCAATGTAGGAAATAAGAAAGAGGGAAGAGAAAGGAGCATGTTTGAGAATGAAGCATGCTACAACTGTGGAGGCCTGGGACATTTCAGACGGAATTGTCCCTCGAAGAAGCTGAGCCGAGCTTCGGGAAACGCCAGCGGGCCAACCCAGCGGGTCATGGGAAGGTCGTCACCACCAGACCCAAATCCAGCCAACGTCACCGTGAAGACGAGCCAAGAGGGAATTCCCCACCAGTAAACAATCGAGTTCATGCCCACAGTGTCTACGTCCAAGGGAACATCGGCAGATATCCCATCAAGTTCATGATAGCCACTGGGTCAACAGAAACCATTATTTCCACAGAAGAGTTTGACAAGATGAGGCGAGAAAGCAAAACGCAATTGCTACCAATGGCAGAGGTCATCCGTCAGGCTGATGGTACGCCGCTACCGGTGCAAGGCAGCGCATACATGGATGTGCAAATTGGGGGCAATTGTACCAAGGTTGAAGTCATCGTCGGCTCGATAGCCAACCAAGGCATTCTCGGGATGAATTACCTACTCACCACGGGAAGCAAGTTGGATCTGGACCGGATGGAACTTCGTATCGGGGAGCACACAATTCCATGCAAGGAAACGTCTTCGTGTTCTTTTTGCTGTCGTGTGCTGGTGGAAGAGACAGTCCACATTCCACCGGGACACGAGTCCATAGTATCGGGGGTGTTGAAGCAGCAGAGGAAGCTGACTGGCTGGGGTATCATCGAGCCAAGCGACAGAACAAGTGTCGGAGAAAAGGGGCTGATGATAGCGAGGACACTGGTGAATGCGGGAGCAAGGCGATTCCTGACTCCGATTCCACTCATTCCACTGGCTCAAATTATTGCTAATTAGACTTCTAATCACCGAATGTCAGGGCCAAAGTCCCAGGGTAGATAAAAGGGCCTGAGAGGATTACAAATCTCAGGGATTCCCCCTCTCTACTCCCCTTCCGCAATCCCATTCCACAAACCCCTTCCACCTTCCATCGGCGGTATTCCACCGAGGATTCCACTGACGGTATTCCACGGAGGATAACTTGTGCCGTGGCCCATCGCTGCGGGGACTGGACACCATCGAGGCGGCACGCTACCTATCAAACCAGCCTGACGAAGGAGAGCTGGCACGACAACGTCACAATACCAATTTGAGCGATATACATTTGAGTAAAACTCAAATATCAATCGCGGGGCAAAGTGGACCTGCGGACGTTTTTTTAGGAGGGGGGAAAGTCCGACCCCCGAACCCCCTGGAGCTGACTGGAAGTCAGCTTTTCTGAAAAAAAAGTATATAATGTAAACTCTACGGAGGGGTGTATACTCGGTTATATTTTACATGTAGTGACCGTGTATTTTTAATTCCTACTAAGTCCTCCCTTTAGAGGAAGCGATTGAAGTACGACAGCTAAATCAGTTTTACCGTTGCAAAAATAATCAAAAGAAAATTACAAACAAATATTTTTCTGTAGATTTTTCAGCATGTCATTTCGTCGAATATTGATACAAATAACAAAAGTACTTTGTTAGTCTCGAAAATATGGAGACTACTCTAACCTGAATTTGTAAGCTCCTGCGGAACATCAGTTGTCTGTGTATGTGGATCTTTAGTTGTGGTGCCTAATGAAAATAATAAATATATTCAGTCATGGTTAATATAATATTTTTTTCGTGATCACAAGTGGAAATAAGAAGAAAAAAACAGGAACAAAAAAACAATTGTTTCTTATGTGTTCAAATGAATATTACAAAAGTAATATGAAAAGGGAAACAAAAAGAAGCAAATCAACACAAAAGATCCCAAAAAAACCGTAGATGACCGTAGTGCTTGAGTTCACGCTTGAGGTTGTCTTGGTCGCAGACCTCGGAGGCTCTCTGTACTAGGGTGCGGTTGACCGATGACTTGATGCTGGGGTGATGGAACGACCGTTGGTGGAGATAGCGGTCGGTGTGGGTGGGTTTCCTGTAGACGCTGTGTCCCAGGGTGCCATCCGGATTCCTGGAGATCTTGACGTCCAGGAAAGGAATGGTGCCGTGCTGTTCTTGTTCCATGGTGAAGCTGATGCTGGTGTGTTGCTTGTTGAGGTACTGGAGGAAGTCTTGGAGTGTGTCCGGGCCACGGGGCCACACTACAAAGGTGTCATCAACGTAGCGTAGCCACAGGCTCGGCCTTCACACTCCATTGATTTCACCTTTTGCTACTTAAGTATTCACTTTCTTAGAGTTTAGGCACTCTCCTGAAGACGGCCAGAGCATACTGACCGGAACGTCGAGTTTATACCTCTGGTTCTTTTCAGAACCATTCTTTTAGTTGAGAAATTATTCGCACACGGTGTTTCCGCAAACCTTTCATTATTTAGTATCTTTACCATGCAAAGCCTCAAATCTTACTTAATAATGTAGGTAGACTTGAGGATCCAAATTTCATAACTGTATATGATTCGTGGTTTTGTTTTGCAATATTCGATTAATTAATGATGATTTCCACGCTGCAGTTGGGTTTTGTGTATACAATAGCCTATGACACTAGATTTTACTGGGGTATCCCGAAATTGATGACAAAGGTAAACTTAACTTTAGTGTTAAGGTATCAGGGGAATCAGAAGTCTTGTTAGTCCTTGTAGAAAGTTTGCGACAAAGCTTACCTGGATTTGTCGTCGTCAGTGGATCACCAGTTATCCATGGCTGTCCATCTGGTCCGAAAATAAGAGAGAACCAAGTATACACAATTAACTACATGGATGTGCTTTAATCTGAGGTACAGGGAAACATGCTGATATTAGGAATGTATTATTCCACAGAAGCTCTGGAGCCGCATTTTGTAAATATCTTCCCTGTTCTCGAAGTATTTAAAAGAGATACAAACCATTATTAATGTAGGTAGACGTGAAGATCAAAATTCATAACTGTATATGATTTGTGCTTTTGTTTTGTAATATTCGATTAATTAATGATGATTTCCACGCTGCAGTTGGGTTTTGTGTATACAATAGCCTATGACACCAGATGTTACTGGGGTATCCCGAAATTGATGATCACTGTAAACTAATCATTTGTGTTAAGGCAAAAGGCGGTTATAACACGATATCTTTTGAAAAGGTGATTCAAAAGACATTCAAATAAATGAGAACAAAACACAAACGAAACAACACGTGAAAGATCTGAAGAAACCGTTATTGATCCCCAATGATTATATTTACCGCAATACAGTTCATCGCTTCCATCGTAGCAATCCGACTGATAATCGCACCGCCAGGAGCCATTGATACAGACTGAATGTCCGCAGTCAAACTCACTTGAATTACAACCCACAGTTACTGTAACAAAAGAAAACAATTCTACATTTACAGATTGTTTGGGAAAGAAAGCTCGGCACTGTTCAACACAAAGTCATGATATTTAAAGGGTTTTTGATTCCTTGAAAAAAGAGAAACAATGGTATGAATCAAGCTCCATAAAACATGTAAAAACCTAAAGGCAATTGTAAACTGGATTCAGTCTTAAATGTGGTTGGTCAATATTTCTTGAACAAATCTCACCAGTTGACGGAAGGCTGACAGCCGATAACAAAAACCCAGATCGTGTTGCACTTCCATCCGACGTGAATCTCAACCACATCTGATTCCAAGAAGAGATCAGATCGGGAGGATCTTTCGTCCCGTGCCACACGAAGAACTCGTTGTAGTAATTGTTGTCACCATCACCGGCCCGAAAATAGTCAAAGCCTCGCTCAGTTTCAAAACTGTGGAAGGTGATGTGAATCTTTTGGTCCACCCAAGATTGAATGGTCCAAGTAACGTCGGCAGAGTTGGGATAGTTGCTTGGATAGAGAGGCGATGTGATCTGGAGAGTCTCACTTCCATTAAGAATCAGGACAATTCTTTCTCCTGAATACCAAATTCAAGGTGCGTGTTTTGTTAAGCATGCTGCATTTATAGTCCAAATATTTTATGATATGAACATTTTTAATCTGTTCCCGTCAGGCGACGTCTTCTTCCAGTTTAGTGCAATCGTATGTTGTTTAATGTTTGATTTTCGATCATTTTTGATAAGGGGAACCAAAAGTCTTTTAAACTCTTGCAGAAACTTTGCGACAAAGCTTACCTGGATTTGTCGTCGGCAGTGGATAATCAGTTGTCCACGGCTGTCCATCTGGTTCGAAAATGAGAGAGAGGCAACCATGCACAATTATTTCGATGTACTTGCTTTAATCTAACAAATATTTCACTGAGGTACAGGGAAACATGCTTATATTTGGAATGTATTATTCCACAGAAGCTCAGGAGCCGCACTTTTTAAATGTCTTCTCCGTTCTCGAAATATTAAAAAATGATACAAACCATTATTAATGTAGAAAAGACTTCAGGATCCAAATTTCATAACTGTATATGATTCGTGGTTTTGTTTTGAAATATTCGATTAATTAATGATGATTTCCACCCTGCAGTTGGGTTTTGTGTATACAATAGCCAATGACACCAGATTTTACTGGGGTATCCCGAAATTGATGACAAAGGTAAACTTAACTTCAGTGTTAAGGTATCAGGGGAATCAGAAGTCTTGTTAGTCCTTGTAGAAAGTTTGCGACAAAGCTTACCTGGATTTGTCGTCGTCAGTGGATCACCAGTTATCCATGGCTGTCCATCTGGTCCGAAAATAAGAGAGAACCAAGTATACACAATTAACTACATGAATGTGCTTTAATCTGAGGTACAGGGAAACATGATTATATTGGCACTTTTTAAATGTCTTCCAAGTTCTCGAAGTATTTAAAAGAGATACAAACCATTATTAATGTAGGTAGACGTGAAGATCAAAATTCATAACTTTATATGATTCGTGCTTTTGTTTTGTAATATTCGATTAAGTAATGATGATTTCCACGATGCAGTTGGGTTTTGTGTATACAATAGCCTATGACACCTGATTTTACTGGGGTACCCCGAAATTGTTAGTTCACCATAGTAATTGCATTATCTATTGGTCAAAATATAATCACAGTAAAGCGGCCAAGCTAAATGTTTCAAACTGAGGTGCGAGCATGACTGATCTTTTATTGCTTAAGCGAAACTTTGGAGTGAGTGATTACCGGTATTATGCTCCGGTGGTGTAACGCTCGTCCACGTCTGCAAACCTACAACAACAATCAGAAAAAAAGTGCTGAATTATATCCATTGTTACTTTTTTTGTCCTAAGTGGCGTTACTCAATTTTCCTGGAAAAAAAAACCCAATGGTGTATTATAACTGCCAGTGTCGTTTAATGACCTTTTGCCGTAGACTTGAAGTTATTAAAAGGATGTGACAAAAGGATGTGGATTATAAGGCTAAAACCATGCATAATTAACGCAACTGAGTTTGTCTTTGCGTATCGGGATGAAACCTATAATTAGATATAATCTATAGAACAAGGCAACATAGCGGAGGCACGCTAGTCGCAAGTTGGAAAATCAAGAACCTTGTATTTTACATCGTCATTTTACTTTCCTGCATCACCGTTACATGACGCTCTGTCAAGGGCAAACGTTAGTTCACATTTTGTAGTTTATTTAATATTTACCGAGAATAAACTTACCACTGTTACAAGTAACACCTGCGTCCTCATTATGCCCACAGTTATGGCTAAACCAGCCAGCATGATTGCATTCAGCTATGCTAGATTCATATCCTTGGCAGTTAACATTGTCTAGCATGATCGGACCTGATCCTTGACCGAAGTGAGCGCTGCTCCAAGCGTTGGATGCAGAAGGGTAACCAAGCATGCGACAGACGACATCAGCATTATTAAGGTCCCATCCATCATCGCAGACTGTACCCCACTCGCCTTGGTAGAAGACCTCAACTTGACCCTCGTTAGAAGAGCTTCCATTCACGAGACGAACTGGAGCTAAAGTAAGAGAACATGAAATACTTCGTGGGTTAGGTAAAAAGACTTTTGATATTAACTTACTGTAACGTGCCTCAAGTTAGTTCAAGTTGAAACACACACAGACACATCAGTTTCATTACTGCGTCTATGAGATGTCACATTGTCAGTTCAAACACGGGTCAAACGATGAACAACGCATAACGCAAGTCCAAACTCGACAATGATAAAGTTCTGGTTGGGTAGACTGGCTCTCGCCCCAATCAGTGTCGACAAGTTTGGCGGTGATTGGACGAACAAGTTTGAATTACCTGAGCATTCAACACCGGCATCTTCACTGTGAGAGCAGTGTTCAGAGTAATCAGATGTGCAGTCGAGAATTGAGCTTTCCGAACCGTTGCAGTGCACATGTACAAGGTGAATAGGACCAACACCCGGGCCATAGGTAGCGTAACCCGTGGCATTAATGGCTGGTCCATATCCAAGCTGTCTGCAGATGACTTGGGCCTCGTTCATGTCCCAGGAATGGCTGCAAGCCGTTCCCCAGGAACCGTTGACAAACACCTCTACTCTGCCTTCATAGATGGTGCTGCCATTCACTAATCGTATCACGGAGGAGGGTGGATTGACGTCTACAGTGGGAGCAACGGTGTTTCCTATAAAACATGATGAATGGAAGAAATGGTTTGAAATACACATCCAGTCTAGTTATTGTAACTGTTTAAGTAAAGTCTATTTTGTATGACAATAAAATATCTGCAGATATGTGTAGTTAACACAACAGTTAATTCATCTTCCCCATGGTAACAGTCTGAGTTTCCGTTGCATCTTTGGTAGCCTCGAATGCATTGGCCGTAGTAGTAGCATCGCCACTCGTATGAACTGCAGCCGTAGCAGAACGGTTCGGTAGTGTAGTCTGGGATTAAAGCGTAGTATAAAACAAAGGTATCTGTACATATTGAGTAAGAAATTTCACAGAATCTGATTTGTTGTACACATTTACCGTTGCAGTTGTATTCATCTTCGCCATAGTAGCAGTCCGAGTATCCGTTGCATCTTTGGTAGTCTTGAATACATTGACCGTAGTAGTAGCATGCCCACTCATTTGAACTGCAGCCGGAGTTGGATGGCTCAGTGGTATAGTCTGAAAACGAAAAGACAGCGAGATGAATTATTTAAAAAACTTGGAGAATGTTTCAACTTTAGAAAACTGTTTTGTTGTAGATATTTACCGTAACAGTTGGATTCATCTTCGCCAAAGTAGCAGTCAGTGTAACCGTTGCATCTTTGGTAGTCTTGAATACATTGACCGTTGTAGTAGCATTGCCACTCATATGAACTGCAGCCGGAGTAGGGTGGTTCAGTGGTAGAGTCTGGAATTTAAAAGTGTGGTTTAAAAAGACAGTACGATATATGTTTCATAAGCAAAAATGTGACATATGCCATCTTTAACAAACTCTTTTTGTTTTGAATATTCATTTAGAAAATAATCTCCTGTGCTCATCTTGTCTAAAGTAACACTCAGTAGGTCCAAAAACACATTGACCTTCGTAATTTATTTTGTAGTATCGCCACTTACATCATCTGCAGCCGTAGTAGAGAGGTTTTGGAGCGTGGTTATGGAAGTGAAGTTATCAATAATTAAGCTTTATATTGCAGCCAACTTCTTAAACTTTCGCTGAAAAAGTAGTCGGAAAATAGCAGCGACACCTCATCTTCAAACTTGTCATAATTTGTCTTTGCAAATCCATATTAAACCTATAATCAGACATGATCTGGCAACATAGCGGCGGCACGCTAGAAGCTAGTTGGAAAGTCAAGAACCTTGATTTTTACATGGTCATTTTACTTTCCTGCCTCACCGTTACAGGGCGCCCTGAAAATAGCCAACTGATTGTTCAGATTTTTAACTTCATTTAATATTTTCTGGAAATAAACTTACCACTGTTACAAGTAACTCCTGCGTCCTCATTATGCCCACAGTTATGGCTAAACCAGCCAGCATGATTGCATTCAGCTATGCTAGATTCATATCCTTGGCAGTTAACATTGTCTAGCATGATCGGACCTGATCCTTGACCGAAGTGAGCGCCGCTCCAAGCGTTGGATGCAGAAGGGTAACCAAGCATGCGACAGACGACATCAGCATTATTAAGGTCCCATCCATCATCGCAGACTGTACCCCACTCGCCTTGGTAGAAGACCTCAACTTGACCCTCGTTAGAAGAGCTTCCATTCACGAGACGAACTGGAGCTAAAGTAAGAGAACATGAAATGCTTCGTGGGTTAGGTTACTCACTGTAAAATACTTCAATTTAGTAAAAGATTAAAAACACACACATAGACACCCACGGTTGTTCGTGGTGTAAATGGAGGATTTTCTTTTGTTCCTCTTCCATTTTCCTTTGTTTGTACTAACTTTTTCGCAACAGCTCTATTTGGTTTTGTACACGTTTTCTAATCGAGGTCGTCCTCGATTTGGTCCCTGTCCTCGATTCACCGATGATGTTGCACGTGTGTGTCCTCGATTTACACAATAAACAAACTCATCGGTTTCATTTTACTGCGTCTCATGATAAAACCTCCCATAATGTCTTGAACACGATCGTCAATTGTGGACTTCCAGGAATTGTGGAAACTATTGTCCTCTTCTGTTCAACGTCCCCTATTGAATGCATAAGCAAACCCGCTTACACATTATACTTATGGGGAAGACCTTTGTTTCCTTTCTTTTGTTTTCCTTTGTTCCTATTGAAATATCAAACTCCAGAGCGTTTCGGGTATGAGTAGGTTGATTTCTAAAGACGTCCTTATTATGGGATCTATTGTTCTATTGTGTTTTCTACCCCATAACGAACCCTGTACATGCACTTTGGTTTCATTACTGCGTCTATGAGATATCACATTGTCAGTTCAAACATGGGTCAAAATGATGAACAGCGCATGAGCGCAAGTCAAAACTCGATTATAATTCAGTTCTCGCTCGGTAAACTGGCTGTCGCCCCAATCAGTATCGACAATATACGGACCAGGAATCAGTCTACTCGCATGGCGGTCTTGTTTAGCACGCACAAAAAACCCAAACCAAAACAAAAGCCTTTCTTGTTTCAGATGGTTGCATAAACTTCAAATAGCCAAAGTGGTTTTCATTAAAATACAAGCCAAAAAAAGCTTTGCATGACAAAACTAATTTGATTTTGTTGACGAGCAACGGACAGTGCATCTATAAAATCGCCAGTTTGAGAAAGGACTTATCTCCAATTAAATCATGTGGATCAGTAATATTGAGGTCATTAATTTCAATGCAACTTGACAATAAGACGTGGATACACCTTTTCGGATGGAAAATGTTAGAAAAAAAATACTATTTTTCATGACAAGTTTGGCGGTGATTGGACGAACAAGTTTGAAGTACCTGAGCATTCAACACCGGCATCTTCACTGTGAGAGCAGTGTTCAGAGTAATAAGATGTGCAGTCAAGTATTGAGCTTTCCGAACCGTTGCAGTGCACATGTACAAGGTGAATAGGACCAACACCCGGGCCATAGGTAGCGTAGCCCGGGGCATTAATGGCTGGTCCATATCCAAGCTGTCTGCAGATGACTTGGGCCTCGTTCATGTCCCAGGAATGGCTGCAAGCCGTTCCCCAGGAACCGTTGACAAACACCTCTACTCTGCCTTCATAGATGGTGCTGCCATTCACTAATCGTAACACGGAGGAGGGTGGATTGACGTCTACAGTGGGAGCAACGGTGTTTCCTATAAAACATGATGAATGGAAGAAATGGTTTGAAATACACAACGAGTCTAGTTGTTGTAAATGTTTAAGTAAAGTCTCTTTTGTATTACAATAAAATATCTGCAGATATGTGTAGTTAACACAACAGTTAATTCATCTTCCCCATGGTAACAGTCTGAGTATCCGTTGCATCTTTGGTAGCCTCGAATGCATTGGCCGTTGTAGTAGCATCGCAACTCGTATGAACTGCAGCCGTAGCAGAACGGTTCGGTAGTGTAGTCTGGGATTAAAGTGTAGTATAAAACAAAGGTATCTGTACATATTGAGTAAGAAATTTCACAGAAACTGATTTGTTGTACACATTTACCGGTGCAGTTGTATTCATCTTCGCCAAAGTAGCAGTCCGAGTATCCGTTGCATCTTTGGTAGTCTTGAATACATTGACCGTAGTAGTAGCATGCCCACTCATTTGAACTGCAGCCGGAGTTGGATGGCTCAGTGGTATAGTCTGAAAACGAAAAGACAGCGAGATGAATTATTAAAAAAACTTGGAGAATGTTTCAACTTTAGAAAACTGTTTTGTTGTAGATATTTACCGTAACAGTTGGATTCATCTTCGCCATAGTAGCAGTCAGTGTAACCGTTGCATCTTTGGTAGTCTTGAATACATTGACCGTTGTAGTAGCATTGCCACTCATATGAACTGCAGCCGGAGTAGGGTGGTTCAGTGGTAGAGTCTGGAATTTAAAAGTGTGGTTTAAAAAGACAGTACGATATATGTTTCATAAGCAAAAATGTGACATATGCCATCTTTAACAAACTCTTTTTGTTTTGAATATTCATTTAGAAAATAATCTCCTGTGCTCATCTTGTCTAAAGTAACACTCAGTAGGTCCAAAAACACATTGACCTTCGTAATTTATTTTGTAGTATCGCCACTTACATCATCTGCAGCCGTAGTAGAGAGGTTTTGGAAGTGAAGTTATCAATAATTAAGCTTTATATTGCAGCCAACTTCTTAAACTTTCGCTGAAAAAGTAGTCGGAAAATAGCAGCGACACCTCATCTTCAAACTTGTCATAATTTGTCTTTGCAAATCCATATTAAACCTATAATCAGACATGATCTGGCAACATAGCGGCGGCACGCTAGAAGCTAGTTGGAAAGTCAAGAACCTTGATTTTTACATGGTCATTTTACTTTCCTGCCTCACCGTTACAGGGCGCCCTGAAAATAGCCAACTGATTGTTCAGATTTTTAACTTCATTTAATATTTTCTGGAAATAAACTTACCACTGTTACAAGTAACTCCTGCGTCCTCATTATGCCCACAGTTATGGCTAAACCAGCCAGCATGATTGCATTCAGCTATGCTAGATTCATATCCTTGGCAGTTAACATTGTCTAGCATGATCGGACCTGATCCTTGACCGAAGTGAGCGCCGCTCCAAGCGTTGGATGCAGAAGGGTAACCAAGCATGCGACAGACGACATCAGCATTATTAAGGTCCCATCCATCATCGCAGACTGTACCCCACTCGCCTTGGTAGAAGACCTCAACTTGACCCTCGTTAGAAGAGCTTCCATTCACGAGACGAACTGGAGCTAAAGTAAGAGAACATGAAATGCTTCGTGGGTTAGGTTACTCACTGTAAAATACTTCAATTTAGTAAAAGATTAAAAACACACACATAGACACCCACGGTTGTTCGTGGTGTAAATGGAGGATTTTCTTTTGTTCCTCTTCCATTTTCCTTTGTTTGTACTAACTTTTTCGCAACAGCTCTATTTGGTTTTGTACACGTTTTCTAATCGAGGTCGTCCTCGATTTGGTCCCTGTCCTCGATTCACCGATGATGTTGCACGTGTGTGTCCTCGATTTACACAATAAACAAACTCATCGGTTTCATTTTACTGCGTCTCATGATAAAACCTCCCATAATGTCTTGAACACGATCGTCAATTGTGGACTTCCAGGAATTGTGGAAACTATTGTCCTCTTCTGTTCAACGTCCCCTATTGAATGCATAAGCAAACCCGCTTACACATTATACTTATGGGGAAGACCTTTGTTTCCTTTCTTTTGTTTTCCTTTGTTCCTATTGAAATATCAAACTCCAGAGCGTTTCGGGTATGAGTAGGTTGATTTCTAAAGACGTCCTTATTATGGGATCTATTGTTCTATTGTGTTTTCTACCCCATAACGAACCCTGTACATGCACTTTGGTTTCATTACTGCGTCTATGAGATATCACATTGTCAGTTCAAACATGGGTCAAAATGATGAACAGCGCATGAGCGCAAGTCAAAACTCGATTATAATTCAGTTCTCGCTCGGTAAACTGGCTGTCGCCCCAATCAGTATCGACAATATACGGACCAGGAATCAGTCTACTCGCATGGCGGTCTTGTTTAGCACGCACAAAAAACCCAAACCAAAACAAAAGCCTTTCTTGTTTCAGATGGTTGCATAAACTTCAAATAGCCAAAGTGGTTTTCATTAAAATACAAGCCAAAAAAAAAGCTTTGCATGACAAAACTAATTTGATTTTGTTGACGAGCAACGGACAGTGCATCTATAAAATCGCCAGTTTGAGAAAGGACTTATCTCCAATTAAATCATGTGGATCAGTAATATTGAGGTCATTAATTTCAATGCAACTTGACAATAAGACGTGGATACACCTTTTCGGATGGAAAATGTTAGAAAAAAAAATACTATTTTTCATGACAAGTTTGGCGGTGATTGGACGAACAAGTTTGAAGTACCTGAGCATTCAACACCGGCATCTTCACTGTGAGAGCAGTGTTCAGAGTAATAAGATGTGCAGTCAAGTATTGAGCTTTCCGAACCGTTGCAGTGCACATGTACAAGGTGAATAGGACCAACACCCGGGCCATAGGTAGCGTAGCCCGGGGCATTAATGGCTGGTCCATATCCAAGCTGTCTGCAGATGACTTGGGCCTCGTTCATGTCCCAGGAATGGCTGCAAGCCGTTCCCCAGGAACCGTTGACAAACACCTCTACTCTGCCTTCATAGATGGTGCTGCCATTCACTAATCGTAACACGGAGGAGGGTGGATTGACGTCTACAGTGGGAGCAACGGTGTTTCCTATAAAACATGATGAATGGAAGAAATGGTTTGAAATACACAACGAGTCTAGTTGTTGTAACTGTTTAAGTAAAGCTATTTTGTATTACAATAAAATATCTGCAGATATGTGTAGTTAACACAACAGTTAATTCATCTTCCCCATGGTAACAGTCTGAGTATCCGTTGCATCTTTGGTAGCCTCGAATGCATTGGCCGTTGTAGTAGCATCGCAACTCGTATGAACTGCAGCCGTAGCAGAACGGTTCGGTAGTGTAGTCTGGGATTAAAGTGTAGTATAAAACAAAGGTATCTGTACATATTGAGTAAGAAATTTCACAGAAACTGATTTGTTGTACACATTTACCGGTGCAGTTGTATTCATCTTCGCCAAAGTAGCAGTCCGAGTATCCGTTGCATCTTTGGTAGTCTTGAATACATTGACCGTAGTAGTAGCATGCCCACTCATTTGAACTGCAGCCGGAGTTGGATGGCTCAGTGGTATAGTCTGAAAACGAAAAGACAGCGAGATGAATTATTTAAAAAACTTGGAGAATGTTTCAACTTTAGAAAACTGTTTTGTTGTAGATATTTACCGTAACAGTTGGATTCATCTTCGCCATAGTAGCAGTCAGTGTAACCGTTGCATCTTTGGTAGTCTTGAATACATTGACCGTTGTAGTAGCATTGCCACTCATATGAACTGCAGCCGGAGTAGGGTGGTTCAGTGGTAGAGTCTGGAATTTAAAAGTGTGGTTTAAAAAGACAGTACGATATATGTTTCATAAGCAAAAATGTGACATATGCCATCTTTAACAAACTCTTTTTGTTTTGAATATTCATTTAGAAAATAATCTCCTGTGCTCATCTTGTCTAAAGTAACACTCAGTAGGTCCAAAAACACATTGACCTTCGTAATTTATTTTGTAGTATCGCCACTTACATCATCTGCAGCCGTAGTAGAGAGGTTTTGGAAGTGAAGTTATCAATAATTAAGCTTTATATTGCAGCCAACTTCTTAAACTTTCGCTGAAAAAGTAGTCGGAAAATAGCAGCGACACCTCATCTTCAAACTTGTCATAATTTGTCTTTGCAAATCCATATTAAACCTATAATCAGACATGATCTGGCAACATAGCGGCGGCACGCTAGAAGCTAGTTGGAAAGTCAAGAACCTTGATTTTTACATGGTCATTTTACTTTCCTGCCTCACCGTTACAGGGCGCCCTGAAAATAGCCAACTGATTGTTCAGATTTTTAACTTCATTTAATATTTTCTGGAAATAAACTTACCACTGTTACAAGTAACTCCTGCGTCCTCATTATGCCCACAGTTATGGCTAAACCAGCCAGCATGATTGCATTCAGCTATGCTAGATTCATATCCTTGGCAGTTAACATTGTCTAGCATGATCGGACCTGATCCTTGACCGAAGTGAGCGCCGCTCCAAGCGTTGGATGCAGAAGGGTAACCAAGCATGCGACAGACGACATCAGCATTATTAAGGTCCCATCCATCATCGCAGACTGTACCCCACTCGCCTTGGTAGAAGACCTCAACTTGACCCTCGTTAGAAGAGCTTCCATTCACGAGACGAACTGGAGCTAAAGTAAGAGAACATGAAATGCTTCGTGGGTTAGGTTACTCACTGTAAAATACTTCAATTTAGTAAAAGATTAAAAACACACACATAGACACCCACGGTTGTTCGTGGTGTAAATGGAGGATTTTCTTTTGTTCCTCTTCCATTTTCCTTTGTTTGTACTAACTTTTTCGCAACAGCTCTATTTGGTTTTGTACACGTTTTCTAATCGAGGTCGTCCTCGATTTGGTCCCTGTCCTCGATTCACCGATGATGTTGCACGTGTGTGTC